GTGCATCTACCATGCTAAGGTTGTGAGTTGGCCAATGCTGGATAGAAGGCGCTTTCTGAGCAGGCTGGGAGTCGAATATCTGCTGCTGAGGCGACGGTTGCAGAATATTGGCAGATGGATGAAATCGAGGGGGTGGAGCGACAGTTTGTTGTGACGGATAACCCTGGATGTTCGATACTGAGGGATGAATGTATGCTGGTGCAAATGTGCTGTAAGGCGATGTATACGGGCCTCGCAATGGTTTCGCAGGATCATGTTGGCGCACATCGTCGAGGTGGTGAAGGGGCGGAGTAGGTGGTCGTTGCCTGTTCGCCCAATGTGGTACAGGCACGTTGTACCGATGTTGCGGCTGGTGGAGAATTTCCGGCTCAGGGGAAAGAGGAGTTGAGATGAAAGTACTTGCCGCAGTCGTTTGTGGAGAGGGAGCGCCAAACGTAGCCATCGAGTCTTTGCGCGTGGATGCAGCGTCATGCACGTCATCCAAGCTCATAGCCTGAGGCCAGCCGGAAGGCGCGCCATGTTGTGAAGGGTTCATCTGGTGTACTTGCAGCAGGTTGAATCGAGAGGCTCATATTTGGTGTTGGAGGAGGCGGGCGGGGGTTGTTGACTATTTATACTGCCGTTGCTCGTGGTGACGGTCGTATGGGAGGCAGCAGCGACCAGTGATAGAAGGCACGCTACCCCGACAACACAAAGGAGTACACCGACAGTGCAAATTCGCGACGTGTCTCCCGCCTTCACCCGACAACTGCGGATAGAGACGCGCACAAAGTGGCGGATTGACCACGTTGAGGCTACAACGTCGCTGCCTGACTGGTCTGTTGTTGACGTAATGAGATGGATCAGGAGGTTGATGGCAAACGAAGGGTTGGAAAATGGGCTGAGCATCGAGGTAGAGACAGATATATCAAGATGGAGTGATAAAGGAGCACCTTTATATAGAAATGCCGCAGATGGAAGCGAGATTGGTGAATGATTCAGTAATACGTTGAGGTGGGCTAACCACACTAACATTCACGGAACCCGTCTTCATCAACCACTAAAATGATCTTCTTCTCGAGGTGCCAGGCTGTCTTCGAATCAGCTGACCTAAACCAGGCTTTAGTCGGGTCAATCCGTGCCAAGCTTCGTAGGCAGAAGCAGACCCGTGGAACATAGAGCGAACTGGATGAACTCTGCATATGAAAATGTAATCTTACCCAGATCTCGCTGATGAGTCATAAAGTAACCACCATACTCCCGCCTTTTCCTGTGTTTATTCTCCTAAACACAACGCTTCCAACGCCAGAAGAATCGAGACAAAGTGCGTATACTAGCGACAAAAACAGGAGATGTTGCGCCGCATGCAGCTCGTATGAGAGAGAGGAGGAGGGAAAGCTAAACAACACGCTTGACCTGTAGACGGGATTAGTTGAGTACTGCTGGAATGGTGATAGGATGCACGGGTGCTGGTTACCTCGAAGAACCGCTTGAGCCACCACACCTGGAAGAAGCCCTGGCCAATGAGTACCATCAACTGGAAGATGCTCCACCACTTGATGCGCGCGTTCGTGCTCTCAGCAGTATTCCTGTGTACGCGCTCGCGCACAATGATGTAGCTCTGCTCGTCCTTGACCTGGGAGACAAGTTCCGACATTGTTCGCACTGTTTCTGTCAGCACTGTCCTCTCCCAACTATCCGGTGTGGTTCCTCACCCTCCTTCTCCAATGGGTCTTGGGGGGCTTCCGATTCAGGGACGTAGACAATGCCGTGCACATTGAACGAGACCTCCTTCGTGTTCGCGCCCCAGTGCTCGTTGTTGAAGCAGTATGTGTATTTGCCGTCTTCTTTGGCGTCGAAGGAGTGGTCGCCGGAGGAGACGCCGCGTTCGTGGACTTGGTAGCTTCGAGAGGGCGTCTCAATCTGTGGATGAATAGTCAGCTATGTGGTTTGGAGGCAGAATTGGAGTCTCATTGACACACCCAGAAATCAATCTCCAAATTTCCGCTGCCGCCAAACTCCCGGTCGCCGACTTGGAACGTGACTGTCATCTTGTCGTCCTTGTGGAGGGACTCGTGGAAGCATTCGCGCTGGTGGGCCTTCATTTGGATGTTGTGCGCCGTCGCGAATGACAGCAAGCTGCTCGCCGCGGCGAGAATGGCGAAAGATGGGAACAGCATGGCGGGTGTATAGTGATGCTGCTCTGTCGTGTGGGATTCGATGTTTCGTCGAGCGCCAAGCTACGTACACGGAGATGCCAGCTTGCCCGCAATGCAAGGGCCCAGAACGTTAGCGTTCAGATTAGTCAGCCACGGCTCCGTCTCAACTTCCTTCGAACGGCGTCCTGCTCTGTCCTACACCCCGCAATATTGTTGTTCGTTCACAGCCTTTCTAGTGAATCCTGGATGCGATGCAGCGTTTGTTCTAGTCTGTTAGGATCCAGTAGATGACATGACAATTTCGCGATTCGATGTGCAGTTTGCATGCGCTGACATCCGCAGCCCTTGAAGGTCTCGCACGATTACCACTATGCGCTAATACAGAACCTCAAGATACAGCTGAGGACCATGGAGATGACGTGTCAAGATTCAGCAGCTCACATCGCTGGTGGCCTGGATATCTACGTCAACGAGTTGAGGCGAAAGGTAACACCCATGTATCTCTCATGAAATATCCTCTTCGTCGTCCACTTCCTTTCTTCTGTGCGCGTAGATCTTAGGATAACGTCCTTTCTTCTGATTCTGTTATCGTTCTGCCATGTACCCTTCTCTTCTGCCGTCCAAATTTAGAGGTTCTGAACAGATCTGTTTGCCGCCAAGACCATCGTCAGTCCGCTCCCACACTTGTCCCCGCAACAACAGCACGTCTTTCTTGTGCGCTCAACCCCAGGTTGCTTTATTCACTCCAATTGCCGCTCGTCTCCGCTCAGCGTTTTCGTCGCCGTCGCTTACGGACCGCGTCCTTTCTTGCGCGCGGTGTCAACGCCCTCACTTCGAACTCAGCGCCTGCACCTCCAAGCTATCGGGATGACGGATGCAAATGGCGCTCCGCGTAGAGTGTCCATGGCATATATCCTAGGCTTTAGTGACAAGCCGTACAAGGAAGTAAAGCCACCCGCACCTCCGCCTCCGCCGCAAACTAGGAAGCCCGGCCAACCTGCTAACAAAGTGACTGCCCCCATTGAATGCCATGACGAAGCTTGTAGGCTAATTACCATCAGATGTCTACTCCTGGTCGCATCGTAGAGTGGACCGCGAGCGACGGACGAAAAGGCAGACTCACAGGCGCCGGCAAACCACGACTTACTGCAGCCAGCCTTGCGAAAGTACCTTCCGACCAACGGCCGACGAAGGAGCTACCAGGCGCGAAGAGTGCCTCAAAGAAAGCAGCATCGACCAAGCCCGCCGCCGATGGAGACAACACTTGGGGTGGTAACGGATGGGATGACACCAATGCGAAGAGCGGATCGAAGAAGTCGAATTCGAAGAAGGCCTCAAGTAACAAAGGTGATGCATGGGTCGTGCAGGAATTGGGCAATGACGCAAGCGATCCTTTGGCAGTCACCTGGGACCCTACTCCGAATGCTACAGGTGGTGACGACAAAAATGAGAAGAAAGATGACCCCGCAGATGCTTGGAACACAGCGAATGCCCCGGAGAACAACATAGCCCCACAAGATGATAGCAAGAAGGACGACGAGTCCAATGAATGGACAAAAGAGCAAGACGAGAAGCTGATGCAGATGAAGGATGATTCAAAGATTACCTGGGCTAAGATAGTCGAAGAATTTGGTAAAGCTGAGCATGAATGCAAACGCCGCTTCAAGGATATCAAGCCGAAGGATTGGAAACCAAGTGGGGCCAAACAGGGAGGTGAAAACAAGAAGGGGAAGAAGGCGAAGAAAGCAGATCAGAACGATGGAAACAACAAGGATGATAAGAAAAAAGAAGAGAAGAAGGAGGAGGAAAAGGGGGATGATGGCGGTTTCTTTGGTCACACGTTTGGAGAAGATACGGGTAACAGCAAGGACGAGTCTGATGACAAGAACAATTCTGGTGACAAAGCACCCGATACGTGGGGCGGTACTGCAGACTGGGACTTCGCTGTGGGAGATGCTGCAGGTACCGGTACGAATGCTTGGGAAACCCAAGTTGGATGGGACACTGGCGCCACCACGGGTGGTGGAGACGGCGCGAATGATGCTGCCGCGAGCTGGGACAATAGCGGTGGAAACAACTGGAGTAAAGGGACGAACAACAACCAGAAAAACAACACCGGCGGCGGTGCCGGAGATGCGAAAGCTTCAAGGCAGAAAGCCCCTTCAAACAAAGTGCCTCCGCGAGCACCCCCTCAGCCCAATGCTAGCAACGGCAACAATAACAACAACAACACCCGTCCCATCGCCGCTCGTCCTCTCGAACTCGAAGTAAAACCCGACGATACTTTCTCCGCCGATGACTTGCGTCTAGTCGCTCGCATCTTACAACAAGATTGCTCAATGGTATGGAATAGGGTCAGCTGGCGATTCAGGGACAAGACAGGCAGGACGCTTCATCCTGATGAGTTCGAGAAGAAGATCACTGGGCGTCTAGAGGGCAAAGGTAGCGAGACGGGTGAGCGGAGGCGGTAGGACATTGACAAGGTGATGACAGAAGGTTACGCGTGGAATGTGTCATGAAGTACACCAAGGGTTGGGAGAGGAGTCAAATGAGCTCATATGTAATACTATAACTATAGCCAGCTGGGTTTCTAGTTCGCATCTTCTGGCTGTATAGTGATCGATGCACTAGTGCGCCCGATGTGGTAGTTAGATACACTTTGAACGAGTCAACACAGTCATGAAACGTGGGTCAACGAACTCGTCATGGCATGTTATAAGCTAGATGACTGAGCCGTGCATGTTCAATGAGCATATTCTGGCGTAGCTCAAGCATCATGGATGAGACAGAACGAATGACTGTCCTCCGCGTTCCAGGTCGATTCTCGAGCATCTCCACTACCATCGGAGGTTGCACTCGCTCCTAGGCAGTGGCACTGTCCCTCCGAAGACACGCGTGCTTGAACTCCCTCTCCAGTCCCGGCATGTTCAAGCGATCGACACCCCAACCGCAAGCCTGGCTCTCACAGTGCAATACCAGCGAACTCAGATGACCGAAGACCTTTCCACATCCCTCGTCGCGACACACGAAAGGGTGAAGGTCACCAGCTGCCGACCAACGCTGTACCTCGCGGATATCGACGCGGCCTATGCGAATGGACGCATGCATATCGAGATCCATGTAAAGCGCTGAGTACCACCACTTTCCGAGACAGCGCGTAAGAAGTGCCGGGTCGTTGAAGTTGGGGCACTTACCCGACTCCAAGTGATTGATGAGGCTGGAGTAGGTGCGCATCGGTGCGTCGCAGGCCCAACAGCCAATGTCAGCGGACCTATGCTTAGTCATGTGCTGGTGTGTTGTCAGCGTGGCAGTCGCGAGTTGATCGCGTGGCAGATCACTCACAATGTGGTAGTTACCCTCGTGGTGAGTGTGGAAGCCACACTCCTCGCAAAGGAAACAGTTCTCGAGGTGAATACCCAGTTGGGTCTTTCCAGCACAGTGCTCGCCGCATTGGGGGCAGGCAAGTGCGAATGCACAGCTCTCGTAGTGTTGCGTAAGCTTGGTAAAGCTCGGTAGTATGCGCTTGCAGCCTTCGCACTGGAAGTGATCACACTTGAGATGCCGTGCAAGCGTGGTCTGGTCCGGCCCATCGAAGTCGCAACCTGGTTGTAAGCAATGCTTATGTCCTTACCTTGGTCAGTCAAGTCCTCAAGGTGAAGTAATCGTTGAACAAGAGAATGAACGCTCTGACCAGGCAAAAATACACGAGCTCGCAACTTAGAATCTCTCAGAACACTTACTGTTCGTCTGTTCCCAATGTGCATCCCGTTCATCCTGATTGCGAAATCGGCGCTGGCATGTTCCGCACCACGTATGCTTCGCAGCGGTTTGAAGATGTCGCTCCAACTCAGCGCGAGTGTTGAAGCCGAGCAGGCAAGTAAGACACACCCACTCATGGCCGACGCTGTAGTTATTCTCGAAGTGGTTCTTGAGAGCCCAGTCATCCTTGAAAGCGGAGAGACAAAGGTTGCAATGAACTTCATGGTTCGCTGCATTGTCGACGTGGTTTTTGAGACCATTGCGGTCCACAAAGACGCGCTTGCAGAGGTTGCAATAGTTTTCGTGTCCGACGCTCTGCTTAATGTGACTGAGCAGTGCAGCTTTGTTGGCGAACTTGTACGAGCAGACTCCACACCAGTTCTCGTGTGGATCGTATGCTTTTTCGGGTGTGTTGTCCGTTGAGCCCGAGACGATGCGATCTTGCCCTTGCTGGGCGCGCGGGCGGTTGAGGATAGCCTTGGTGCGGTCATTCAGCACCTGCGGAGAGCGTCGAACCGGTGGTGCCGGCTGTACTGCAGGAGCGCCGCGCTTCTTGACCTCTTGCCATGGCATCGAGTCATCGGCAATCTGGTTGAGGAATGGGTTTTGAGAATGGTCAATAGCGGGACTGCGGACGGGAGCTTCGCTGCTGTCTGCACTAGCGAACATCGCATAGCGGTTGCTGCCAGGCGCGGCCATTGCCAGTCCGCTGCAGCGAGGTGAGGACGTGGTCGGTGTTTACAACAATGTAGTATCGGTACAGCTGATTGTGCTGATAGAGGTGATTGTGCTAGCACGGACAGCCAATAGCAAGCTGCCTGCCCTGGAGGCAGCAAGCGCCTCGTCACGTGACAGCGCGAAAACAAACGGATGGATACATGAACACACACGGATGCGCGCATAGGCGGCACCAAAGATCGATCGAACATCTACTCGCGTTGAAGGTATCTTCGAAGTACAGGAATGACCATGCAACTGATAACATTGAACAAGACGACACGATGGCGGAGCCGAGGAGACGGTGAGCGTGGAGGGAATGGCGCGATGGATGTACACCTCATTGGAAGCGAACGCGATATGGAGAATGCTGGACGAATCAATAAGTGAGCATGTACTTGCCGAATGGACTCAGAAAGGTCGCGATGCATATTGTTGCGAATTGACGGCGTGAGAAGGTCGAAGCTGGGGACCGGAAGACACGTTAAGTGAAAGCGAGACATGGACTATATATCCATTCAGCGATGTCTCGATGAGACTAGAGTAGGGCAGTCAGACTCAAAGGAATGATGTCAGGAGGAAAGACGTGTTTGAATTGAAGGAGGTTGGGTGAATGACGCCACTAAAGTTAGTGTGTCACGTCGCCCACGCGCTCGGTTCCGAAGTTCGCCCGCCCAGACTTCGTATCTGTCACACCCACCGAATTCAATCACCTACACCATCAGCGCCATCAGCGCCATCTCGGAAACTATGCCCCGCGAAGAAAAGCAAATGTTCGGTTAAACTGCGACTGGAATATGTGACGAGGCCCCTTAGCTGCTTGCCCGAACAACGCGTCAGTCCTTGGCCAAAGCAGCACTACTGCAGAATTCATCGGACGCGTGCTTACTCCAACTCTATACCTTCAACAACGAACGAGCAGTCTGCTCCTTCCAGGGATCTCTGCTGCGCATCTTTTTAATGGTTCTGTCACCCGTGACGTCGAACAAGCGGTCTTATTGTCATCTCGTTCCACTATGGCGGCTCGAGCCTCAAGCGTGGCCACGAGAACTAGAGTCCTATCTCATTTTATCAATGCCTTTCCGGAAGCTTCCCGACTCTAGGTAGGTGTTACTCACATGAGAAGGTTTGCTTTGCGAGCTCGGAATCTTGAAACATCAGAGTTTGTTCGTCGCGATGAACTCAGTACAATATGGCCTCGCCGACAAAAGGCTGCTACATCTTACTCACGACATATATTCAACTCTGTCGTCCAGTCTAGGATGGTGCATTTCACTTGGAGCTTTCTTCGTTTGCTACTGCACTCTACAATGCGTCTGACTGTTAGTATAAGGATATGGATCCGGTATGTTCACTACGGCGGCTTTACTATTGATCTTTCACACATGCTACATACTAGAGCTCAGCCTGCAGCTACGCCCTACTGGTCTTCTTCGACCCGCTTCTCAACAAGCTTTCTTCACGAACATCGTGGCGATTCAACCGGGTGAAAGCTATCCAGCGTCACTCACACGCGCCAAAGATTATGTCACACGACGTGGAGGGAAAGCGATGTGCCCCACAAGATGGACCTGCTTTCTGTATAACTACGGGCGCGGACTACACCCCCCGGTGATCTCTCACTCCCTGCACAACCATTCCGCTCTACTTCTTTGGCTGGCCTTCTTGTCCTGCCCGGAAGAACCGCCCAGTTTCATCCAAGTACGTTAGTTTGGAAAACTGCTAAACAGTAACTGTATAGCAAACCGGTACCAAATACCGTCCTTGCACTTTTACGAGACACTAATCACCGTCATAAGACTTGCTTCGTATAAGATGCATTGCATCGACAGGAGGATTCACCAGCGTTCACAAAAGACTAATCGCTTTGTCGCCTTTGAGCCTCGCTGTATCAACCATGCGTGGGATACGGAAAACAGTAGGCCGAAAGATCTCACCATCGATCAGCTTTGCCGTGCGCAAGCGCTTGCCAATGGTTCAAACTATCAACACCCAGATGAAGACATCATTGAGCGGATGCGCGCGAGAAATGATGTCTCTAGCACCCAGGAAGCAAACAGCCCCGAGCAACTCGTGCCTCCTTTACTTTTAACGCCGATAAGTTTGCACTCCGATGTTCTCGCCCGCAGTCTGCCTGTACCAGCCACTGACCCACCTAATGCGGCTCCTGTCATCTCACAAACACATCCATGCGCGAAACTCTCATCAGAAGATCATATCTGGGAAGAGAAAGCATGTAAAGGCATCGCTCACAAGGGGCTGAGCTTGGACAAAGTCTGGGATAAAAAGACGTGGAAGCAGAAAGCCAACAACATCGAACGATTGAAGTTGCTAAAGGACGATGGGTACGACATCAAATCTCTACAGGCCCCGAAGACATCCGCAGATGCAATAATCGAGGCTCTACTGGCTCACGTCAAAGTACGGAAGGAGAAGAACCTGGATCTTGCAGCTTCTACAGTACTACAGTCAACTCCCAGTGAGGAAGTACCAGAAGTAAGGAAAGAAGATAGCTATGACCCCACTCTAGCGAACGATGACGACACAGCGCATGCGGAGCCCAAGGAAATTGCAGACCATGTTCCATCGGACGCGACACCACAAGGTGTTCCGAATTTTGCGCAGGATGAACCAGAATCGCATGAGGAACCAGAATCCCACGATGAACCAAAACCACACTCATATATCGCAGGCCTGAAACGCAAGCATACCCATGAGGATGAGAACCAGCCTGATTGGCACCAAGACAACCCACAAAAGGAACTTCACGAAGCCTACAACACAGCAAATTCCAACAACCTCGTCGACCTGCCGTGCACTTGCAGGATCGCTAAGATAGCGCGAGTGTTGACAAGGGAAGATTTTGCCAACGCCTTCGCGAAACAAGCTGCGTTCATATACAGTCGAAAAATTGGTCGTGACATCTTCCGCTACGCTAGAGAGATGAGAAGGATATTTCAGGACCCAAAGTCGAAGGAATCCTTCCACATTTGTATGGCGTCGTGGAGACCCTCACGAATCATCTTTCAGTCGCCGTCATCGGTCGCTCGACAGTCCTGTGAGCCGCATGTGTATATCAGCGCACAAGGTATCAAGCTGATGATGTGGGAGCTTTCGCACATCGCTTACGATCCTTATGAAGATGGTAACTGGTGCATTGCAGACCCTGACGAAATTGAAGATCAAAAGGGCGATGGATTGATGGAAGCATGCAACCCAGTAACGGACGACTTTCGGTACAGAATCCGCATTTCCGAAACTCCAAAATTCCCCATGATCATCGAAGGAGAGACCATGGCACTAGTTGGTCTACTCAGACGTTTTCGTAAGAGCGGTATCAGCTACTACCACAAAGGACAGTATGATCCGCAACGGATGGAGGTAGTCGCGTATGACAATGAAACTAGGCAATTAAGTGATGCCACCGAAACTGCTTTAGAGGATGCTGAAAAGATATTAGAGGCGGAACACGCTCTTGGTGGCGTAGAGGTCCATATTGGGTGGCTGGAAAGCTCCGACTACCTAGATAGTTTGTTCTAGGTCAAGAGCGCACGAAGTAGTACATTCACTGTGACCCGTCTGTAGCTCTACCAATTGTTTGATAAGAGGAACTTATGACGATACGGTAGTGAATGCGACTCGCGGCCCGTGCTCACCAACACTCCAAGCTCTGCACCAAACACTGCCCTCGTTGCCTTGATGCTGCCTGTGTGCACCCCCGTTCTCTAGCCACTTCTACGGCGAGGTCGCAGTCGTGAAATCATTCAATTATTTGCTCCCTCTCGTACCCCTACCGCGCCAGCAAATTTGAACCACAGCTACACCCACAATGCCCGTACGCACCCGCAAAATCGGCGTCAACGACAAGGACAAAACCGCTCTCGCATTCGCCCACGATGACTTCCGCCGCCATTGGGTCTCCGGTCAGGTTGGGGGTGGCCGCAACACCGATTCAAGAGTCGCATTCAACCAACAAGATAACGGGTTCAAGCACTTAAAGCTCACTGTCGCAACGCTCGTCGACGCCAAAACCAACGAGGCACCTGACTTTGCCAACTTCGGTCCCGACGAAGAGGCCAAATACCACGGGATGCTGCGCAGCAAGCTCAGCCTCGCCAAGGACTACATACTCAAGGAGAAGGACCTGTCTCTAGACCCCGACCGATTCGGTGCGCGCCACGAGCCGACGTCACTAGCCCTCGCCGCACCGCCTATCATGATCGACCTGTATTCTCAGCACATGATCCGGCTCCTCCTCGATATCTCAGCACAACTTCGCCAGGTTAGCGCTGAGACTCCGGCGGATGAGGTTGAGACCGTGCTAGAGGGGCCGATGAGAGATTACTTGGAGTTCTGGGAGAGGTTGCAGAACAGTCTCTCATGGCAGCTTCCTGGAGAGGATAACGAGGCTAGGATGGGCGAGGCGGACAGGGCTATGAGTGAGGTCTTGGAGAAGTTGGTCGAGCCTTAGCATCGAACAAATGAGGTTACTTGGCAGGTAAACGGGAGATGGATTTACGTTAGTCACGCTTGAAAGAAGATCAGTTGACAGTAATTCTGGTGGTTATGGGAATCTTGAGCAGTATGAACGTATGTGAATGTCATTTCCAGGACTATATGACGTTTGTATTGCTGGTTCAAAGATGAACAACACTGAATTCGAAATATCTCTGCAAGATACGCAACGACTCAGAGGCATGTTCGCAGACATCTAACCATTAGCGAGAGTCAATTGTTTAGTGTTGGCCCAAAGCTTGTCACCATCTAGCCTTTGGCTTGCAAGTATGACCAAGCGAATAGCTGGTTTGCTGGCTGCTTGAATGCTTTCTGTATATAGTTGCTCGATGTCGACACTGACTTTGCAAGCCCATCTTCGGCACTCTGTGTCGGCCCAGCGACTCAGTCAACGGGGGCAATGAATATATTTTCTGTTGTCTGGGGGCTACATGCTGCATTTCACGCGCTAGTTGCCTGGCTACTCCCCTCTGTCAATATATAAACAACGGTTTCTGCTCCAAAAGTTCCTCGTGGCGAAGCTCAACTCGACTCCTCAATCGAAAGACATTACATCGAAACGCGTAGGTCGTGAGACCTGGATCGAATCGTCAGATCGGAATCCTTGAAGTACCAGTTCCCCATCTCCGGATATATAGAGGTAAAGAACGGCTCTCTTCATTCTTCGACGTAGGCTGACTGTTAAAGTCGTACAAAACGAGTGCACAATATGGCTTCGACCACTACGATATATCCAAACACCCTTGAGGGTGTCAAGGCTTTCTGCAAGGGTCGCAAAGCTCTTGACCTCATCCGCAGCTTTAGCACTACTCCAATCCCAAGCGCACCGGCAAAGTGGGACGACACCCTGGGAGTTTGTCTAGACCTCGAATGGTACAACCAACCTCCCGACAATCCAATGGAGATCATCAACGAGGGTGGTCTCGTCGTCTTCCCGATGAAGAAGCTTCGTAGCTGCAAGAACCCAAGCGATTTCGAGAATCTAATTCGGAACTTCGCGGTACATCATCTACGCATCGTGGAGACGTGTCACATGCGGAACAAGGGGAAAGACAAGTTCGGTATCCCTTTCGGTGATACCGAGCTGAACCCAAGGTTTTGTCAAACGCGCTTCGTTACGAAGTCTGAGGCCCAAGCAGTCCTTGTCCAGTTTCTCGATAACCAGCGCTGCGACGATGGGTCAAAGAGACCAGTAATCTTCTTCGGTCAAGGCCTTAACAATGATGAGCGCCAACTGAAGGAGCAATGGAACCTTAACACGGCTAAGCTTGACAGCATCGTTCTCACGATCCGATCACTTGGGGCACTGGCGAGCCACGCCGGTATCGTCGCTGCGCCAGATAAAGAACGCGGCGAGAGCTTACCGAGGTTCGTCGAGCTTCTTCGTGGGTTCCAGGTCGATACAGGTAACATCTGGCTCCACAACAGCTCCAACGATGCAGTGTATGAGACGACACTATTCTTTCTCGTTGTCCTCTTCCCAGTACTGTATCCGGGTACGCCTTGCAATCAGTTCCCACCGAACTGCACCATCGCCGGCCGTTCCATCAACGACATATGGACCGATCTTGCTGAAGAGAAGAAAGCCATCCTGCCGCAGACGTGGGGCACTGCTCAGTTCTGTTGGTACTGCGAAAAGGCAGACGTGCATGACGCCGACGCGTGCCCTGTAAAGGAGACGATCGAGTGCGACATTTGCGCGAAAGCTCCTGGTCCTGAGAACAAGCGCTTCCGTAGTAAGCAATATCGCTTTGGCCATCAGACTAGTCGGTGTACCCATCAGTTCAGGCACTACATCCCACCACTGCCTGCATTTATTACCGACAACCTCGACCACGAAGAGCAGCGTGCTGTCTCGCGAGCCAAGGCTAGTGACGATGTTGCGGTCGGCGGGCGGATTCTGTTCGACAAGCTTCTGGCACCTGGGTACCCAGGCAGGATCGGCGATCGTGAGTTGGATGCCGAGGACGAGCGTCGCGCTGAAGAGGACAAGATGCTGTGGAGCTTGAGCGATGCTGACGACGAAGAATTCGCTCTAGATGATGAGTAGTACAGCATTTGACGCGTGTCAATCGAATCGACCGTGGGAGCACATTCGATCGCAGGCTCGGGGCTTATGGACGAGAGGAGGAACGTTTGCTTGTGTACAGCTGTCTTGTTGTAATGTTAGTAGTCAGCCATGATAAGGTGTATAACAACTGTTCCAGAGTCTGTCATCAAGCTCGATCCTTTTCTATGCTTGCTGAGTTGGATAGAGTGAGCCCTGAACCGCTCTGGCTGCCACCCCTGGTAGGCCGCTGCATGGCCAGTTGGTCAAGCATTAGACGCTTCATGCTGCCGATACTAATCGTAGGCTTTGAACAAGACGTGTAGTTTGGGACGAGGAGCGTGCACTAAAGACAGCTGTTGAGATCGTGGCTGGGTGGTGGTATTGCGACGCGTCGCAAAGTTTCGCCGAAGCGATGACGTCACCCTTCCGAAGCAATCTTCCTCACGTGACCTCGGCCATCTCCGGACTCCAGGGCTTCCAAGGTCTGCCCGTCCGTTCCATATGGCACGCGCCAAAGCACTCCCGCTCGCAACACTAGCTTCTGAGAGCACGATTTATTACGTGTCTAGCAGACCAACGCTATCGAACATTCGTCGCGGCCTTCCTAAAGTCGACCATCCCGAGGTACCTCTGCAGATCATCTACATTGACAAAAGTGTCGTTGACAATAGCCTCCACCTGATTTCCGAGTTCACTATCAGTATCAACACTTACGCTCTTCATCATCTCTCGCCACAGCTCAGACCTTTGGATATAGTAGACTTCTTTTAGGCATGCCAAGTAGTGTCTCTTGTCACGGTCCATCTCTCCGCGCTGCTGGTGGTAAAAGACAAGTTCGTGTTGATGGTGCAAGACCGTGCGGACCAGCATTTGGGCTTTCCCTGAGATTATGGGCTTCGAAGAACTGTCAAAAATGATCCTGTAACCTGTGGGAGGTGCCCCTTCAAGCTCAAACCCGGGTGTGCTGCACAGCTCTGGGTAAGGGTTGACAAATGCATTTATGCCATCTACTCCCGCTTGTAGGCTGCCGTGCTGTGAGGTTTCTGCCTCGTCAATAGCAGCGTTCTTGATCATTTTAAGGTGGGAATGGAGGCTCCTTAAAATGAACAGAGATTCGCGTTTCGAGATCGGTTCGGGCTCTTTCGCTGGAGCTGTGTGTATACGGAGGATATCTTTCTTTTTGGTGGAGCTGATGGATCGCGGCTTTCGCTCATAGTCACCACCTATGATTCGTGTTCCTTCGATGAGTCCTTGATCGATGCGCTTATTGCGACAGGCGACCAATGCCTGAGCCAAGTCCATTGCCGTGAAGTCTTTCCAAGGCGCATTGCCAGATACACTGACGTCTTCGCCCGCCTTTTGTAGTGCTCTAAACATGTTGCCCTTGTTAGATCTTCCTACCCATGACCTGGCCGTCCAAGGAGCATCAGGGTCTGTGCCTCGCTCTCTTGATACAGTTGGGGTTATGGCAGGAGATCTGGATTTCGAAGTGGAAGAGGGAGTCAGAGATGAATTAGACTTGTGGGTCTTTCCTTGACTTCCGGATGGTGCATACGCTGGCGCATCTTGATTAGTGCTCGACATGACCGGACGATAGAGTTAGAGATCTAGACATTAGTTCAGCAGAATGCTTAGGGTTGAGAGAAGAGTAGATCGCATATAAAGTGACCGATTATAGTCACGAACCTTCTCTCTCACTGGCCTAGGTCATTTGCAACACCCCCGTCAGCGAAAACACCAGTTCCCACCAGGTGTCAGTCACAGATTGTTGTGTTCTTTCACTGTGCTTATTTTAGAGCACACAAGACGTTCAAGAATGGCTCTTTCTACGAAACATGATGCCTCGCGTGATAGCGGCCTCTCTTTCACTACATCGAGACACGATATCTCTCATCCATATCTAACCTCGCCAGCGCCCTCCCTGAACCAGTCATCGCTAGCCAGCCCCTCATCAGCCGTCGCATAGTTTATGATCGTACTCTTCGATGTTGTATACGCATTGTAAGCGTCGATACCGTTCTCGCTACCCACTCCTGAGCTTTTGATGCCGCCCCACGGTGAGCTTGGGTCGTTGCGATGATGCGTGTTGACCCAGCAGATCCCACTCTCGATGCTCTCTGACACGCGGAAAGCTTGCGAAAGATCTTGCGTCCAGATGGCTGCGCCCAGGCCGAATTCGCTGTCGTTCGCAAGCTCCAAGGCCTCTTCTTCCGTGTCAAAGCCTACGACGACGATGACAGGACCAAAGGCCTCTTCCTTCCATATGCGCGTATCGATAATCTTCTTTGTGGTACTATCCGTCAGTATTGTTGGTGGATAGAAGTAGCCTTTCGAGAAGTCGGTATCGTCCAGTGAAGATTTGTGAGTCATTCGTTGGCCACCTGTGACAACCGTCACACCTGCATCCTTTGCGCCGTTGACTAGTGTCTCAACGTTGCTGAGCTGTTTCGCCGATATGAGGGGACCCATCATAGACTCCACATTCTTCGGTGAGCCCATCCGCCTCTCGATGCTCTGCACCTTGGCTTTCAGCTTCTCCACTACCTGATCGATGATGTTGTTCTGCACGATGATACGCGTCGCTGCCACACATGTCTGGCCACTAGCTATGAAGCTTGCGAACACAATGCCGTTAACTGCAAAATCCATGTGCGCTTTTTCAAACACGATCAGCGGAGCCTTGCCACCAAGTTCGGCGGTGTAATGTGCCAGGTTGCGTCCTGCGATGGCGCCAATGGCGCGTCCTGCTGGTGTGCCGCCAGTAACATCGACTTTCTTGATGAGCGGATGCTCCACAAGAGCCTTTCCGGTCGTGATGCCGTCGCCTGGCAACACTGAAAAAACGCCGTCGGGCAAGCCGGCCTCTTTCAGAAGCTTGCCAAGCTCAATGCTGGTGAGCGGCGTCAGCTCGCTTGGTTTCAGCACAATGGAGTTGCCCGCGGCTAATGCGGGTGCAATCTTCTTGACAGCAATCAACATTGGGTGGTTGAACGGCGTAATCTGCGCGACTACACCGAGCGGCTTCCGGTCAACCCAATTGTGTAGTTTACCGACGGTTGGCAGGACAGAGCGCTCTTCGGTTCGTATCAACGCGGCGTAATATTTGAACCATTTCGTAAGAGTCGGAACTTGGGCATTCATCTCACGAATAGCGCGTCCGGTCTGCTGTACTTCCAGCGCGATAAGCCTTGGAAGATTCTTGGTCAGGAGTTCTGCAATTCGGTCCAGCGTCTCCGCACGCACATGGCGCGGGGCTCTCGACCACACGCCCGATTTGAAGACTTTGTGTGCAATTTGAACAACATCTTCGACATCAGACGCAGATGCAGCATGGCAGTGCGCGAAGATCTCCCCAGTCGCGGGGTCTTCAACGGCGAGCCTGTGATGCTGTTAGCAATTGGGGTGGGTCACGAATGAGGGGTCCCGCTAACTGACTGCTCCGCTCGACCTTCCACCTCTTTCCCTTCCACCCACATCTTGTATGCGTTCTCCATATTGGTGACAATGTACGTTGTAAGGAGCAATGTGTGCTGCAAGAGTTTGAGGATGGGTAGGAGGCTGAGGTGAGTGAGTCTTTGGTAGCGGAGGTGGCCGACGAAGAGTGGACCTAACGATAAGTTAGCGGCGGCTAGAGATGTTTCGGCATCCAGAGTACCTTCCAGATCAACCACATGCTGGATATAGTATCAAGCAGTATCGGGTTTAGTTTAGAGGGCTTTAACATCATCGATTATGATTATAATACAATAATTTGGGTATCTTTTCCGACTTCGCGATTCTCAGTTGACCACCGTAATATCACAACGCCTGAAGAGACCCTGCGAGTACAAAGCGGAAGCAGATGACAATTCTACTATTTCAGATATGGCGCGAGGCCTGAAAATGAGAGAAGTAATTATCGCCGCCGGAAGCAGAAACAAAGGAACTTTCATTTTGTCCTGATCAACTTGGAATTCATGTCAATCCAAGCACATGTCTTCCCTTCTCGTTACCCCTCCCACAGTCCAAATCCCTCTTCACTTCACCCTCAGCCCCATGTGTCTGCAGAAGCTCAATCAACATGCTTCTCTCCTTGCCTTCAAGTCTCACCGCTTTGAGGGCAGACTGTAGTGGTGTACGTCCATTCTTCGCCTCGAAGTTCACGTCCACACCAGCTTCAACAAGGTACTTTGCTATCGCAGACGCACCAGGCGTCCTGCAAGCAAGATGAAGTGGCGTTTCTCCATCATGATCAGGGTTGTCGATCGAGTGACCCAAGGAAGCAAGGTAACGGACAGTGGCGAGCTGCCGTCCTAATGTTGCGGCATGCATTGCGGAGTAATACGACGATGGTGCTGTATTGACACGAGTAATGTCAGCCCCAAAATCCAAGAGAAGGTTAAGAATGTCTGGCGACATTTCGTACGCTACTCGAATGAAGAAGTATCCGAATTCTGGGTGCGTCGCCATGGGGTTTGCGCCTTCCCATATCACCCTCTCCACTTCGGCAGCTGTCGCTTCTGCTGGTATATTTGCCAGAATTCGATCCACCGCCGCCCTTTGGTTTGGCTCCAGCTCTTTCCGTTTTCCCTTCGTCACAGCTATCCGATCCGAGGTGATCTTCCTATGAAAAATGGAGACGTCTGAGCTGGACAGCGTTGATGTGTATTTTGATGCTTGTTTTGATGCGTGTCTGGACGCAAGTTGTAGCCGAGTACTCGCCTTCCCTGAGAGATCAGTACACCAGCTGTATGACTTCTTGAGTCGAGATTCCGGTGGTACTAGGGTAGGACTGGATGCCGCGCCGTCGTCAGTGTAGAATGTACCGCGCGATGGGGTGATGTCTTCCCGGGATGGCGGTATCAGAAGTCGCCTTGGAACAGATGTTTGTTCAAGTGCGGAATAAGACAGAGTCTGCGCGTCTTCAAAGGACGGAACGTTGGCGAGCCAGGTGCCAATGCCGTCGTTAGCGCTGTTTCGTGTGGAAGCTTGTTCGTGGGGGCTCTTCCTGCCGCTTCGAGGCTCCTCGCCAAGGGCGGGCTCTAGGGAATCTGGACGTGGGAGAGTAGTCCTCTTTGCTAGTTGTGATGCAGACGGCCCGTCCCGTTTAATAGCTGTGATACATGATCGAAGCAGACGGACAGCCTGTAATAGTGAAGACAGTTTGTCGCGTGCTGTTTGATTCACGTAAATCTCATCTGTATCCGTCTTCTTCAGCAATTCATCACTTTGCGTGATGAGATCGCTGACAAAATTTTGAAGTAACGAATCCATCGTGTCCTGTTGGCAAAATCTAAGCTGAGTCAGTTTTCGTGCAATGCTCAGTCGTTCCTGGTGCAAACAACTTACAATGCGACATAGTCTAGACACAACTCTAGCACCACCTTTGAGGCGTCAAGATCATGCCGTAGATTCACCAAAGGTCCGTCCTTCAGCACACCCCAGTCCTCTTTCGGTTTACTACCACATGAGAGCTTAAGAAAAGCCTTGTGCAATCGTTCACAGGTATCGTCGCATGAGTCCAAAACTCGCGAGACAGCATCGATCAGAGACGCCGGCAGCTCGGCCCACTTTGCCGAAAAGTCGTCTTGCGCAATACTCAGCCCAGTTCTGATCACGAGCAGATCACTGTTGATCTTGTTCAGATCGTGACGAGCATCGCGGAATTTGCGAGCAAAACTGCTGATATCCGGGATGACCTGTTTTGGGCGTTAGCGCGTGTAGGTGCAAAGTTGAACATCTGAAGCGGCTACCTGGGCGATCGAAGTTCCTAGCGCAGCGCATCGGGCAGCGACTGTACTAGGACGCGACATTAGTTTGGATGCGCGTTGACAAAGTTGATGCTAATATGCACTTTGAAAAAGACGTCGAGGGCGTGGCCGGGCTGTCGTGGCTGTCGTGTTTGTTTTGGGGACGGCGATGCCTGTCGGCGATTTTGAAGGTGTGTTGGCTTGGTCGGAGCTGACGAGCTTGTCACATCGTGAAGTACTGGCGTACGGCACGGATCTCAAGCTCTTGCGTGCCCGCCGGTTACTTGGTGGCCCACGACGTTGGATGCGAAAGGGGGGAAGACACAGATCACGCTCAGTTTACGAAGAAAATAGGCTGCGCATTGTTTGAGGGAGGGTTGGGTGTTGTTGGGCTTTGCGTCTCCAGAGCGGTGGCTAATGCAAGAGACCTGCCTCAAATTGCGGGAGTGCAGGTGAAATTCCCCGTCTCCGAAAGCCACCAACGACTGGGCTATGGTGTTGCCATGCCTGGGGGAATAGGAGACAAGTCGCTATTGTGGGTTAGGCGGGGCGGGAGGCGCGCAGGGGAACCCGGTAGTGGAAATGAAGCCGACTGGGCAGTGGAAACATTAGATTGTCGCGTCTGCGAATGCGAGGACATCAATTTCAATTTCGCATCTTTTTTTCTTTTTTGTACATACTTGCTGCACAAGCGACTCAGTCAACAATGCCAGGTGGCAAGAATGAGAGGTAATCGACCGGGGCGGGCTCTATCCCATCAGCTTGCGCAGTGAGTCGCACCACGTCACCTTGCCGAACCTCAACACCTCTGAACGTGATGCGCGTCGCGGAGTGCCCATCGAGATACACGCTCGGCGCGTGTCCCAGCTTGTCTTCCAGATCCCCCACCCAGCTACCCACGATCCGATCGCCAACCTCGAGTTCGTACTTCGCTTTACCTCCAATCAAATCGTAGTAATTGACAGCGACGTCGTACGTTCCCGAGGCGAACGTGACATTAGCGGTCGCGACGCCCGTTGTGGAGTTTGATGTTGTGACGATAGCCGTATAGCCGGAAGCTGTCTCAAAAGGGCTTACCGCATAAGTCATGAAACCATCGAGCATCATGTCCTCCGCCTCAATGCGATACGGGTGATTGCCCACGCGCTGGTTCTCGTCTGCTATCTGTGAGAGATTGTGGTAGAACTCGTTGATCGCGTCGCGCCAAACTATCGAGTGGCCAGCTTGGAACGTTTGCCTGAACAATACATGTTCATATCGCTCATCGTCGATCTTGCCCTTCAAGGACTCCCATTGCCCAACAAATTCCTGCGCAACACCAGCACCTTCGTAGTGAGCGTCGTAGAAATGCTGAATCACAGTCTTGTTAGATTTCAGTCGCTGTGTATACGGAACGTGATGGAACCAGAGCAGTAAATTGTCCGGCGTCGATTCGATGTCTTCGTAGATTTGAGCGACCTCAGGCGGGTATTGTCCAGCATTGCCAGTGCCGTTCTTCACGGTACGGTCCATGCCGATACTGAATGCATCGGCGCGCGTCCATTGACCCCACCCATTACCGTCTTGCGAAGCAGGGTTTGGTCCAAAGTGTGTGTACAAAATGTCAGTCAATGTCTGAATGCCGAGATTGCCGCTGTAGTTTTCATATGCGGGCCACGACCTCATGGACATATCGGTGATGGTGTCGAGCACGTCCGGGTCAAAGCCAAATGTCAATCGAATCCAGTCTTGCAGGATAATCTTCGGGTCAACGGACGCGTCCCAGGCTAATCGACCGTACGCATACAGGTTGGACATGGCTAGATGTGAGCCTAGCCACGTCGCATTTGATCCAACTCCTGTCACGCCTGCATAGCCACCCAATGGTCGCTTGAAGCGCTCTCCAGTGATAATGTCTTTGACTTTGGATGACTGGTTGTCAGATCTCATGTCAAACTCGAGGATCTCTTTCCACTGTGGAGCCAAATAGACTAGGTGGCAGTTTTGGCCAAGATACTCGGGCGTGATCTGGAGCTCGATAGCTGTGCTTGTGTGCCGTAAAGATCCAAATAGTGGCGATGCTGGCTCCCGAACCTGGAAGTCAATCTGTGGGGAAACAGAGATACGTTAGTCTGCTCTTGAATAGATAGCGTCTGTAGACATACCGGGCCGAACTTGATCTGAACAACTACATTGTCGTCAAACTTTCCATCTAGATGCTGAAAGAACTCCAATTGCGCATTCGCCCTGTCGTTGTACCAGTTGGTCTCATTGATGTGGTTGTCGTAGACGAAAGCGCGGAACATGACAACACCACCATGGGGTTTGGCTGCCCTCGCGAACATGTTGGCGCCGTCTGCGAGTGTTCGGTTGTAGGTCAATGGACCAGGCTGTCCTTCTGAATTGGCTTTGACGAGATAACCGGCCATGTCTGGAACCTTGGAATAAATCTGGTTGGTGATGTTGGCCCACCATGCATCTACCTTCGGGTCCAAAGGATCGAATGTGCCTAGACTAGCATTCGGAGATGCGAAGTTGAGGGATATGCCAAGTTGCACACCCCATGGTCGCATCGCATCAGCGAGTCTACCAAGGCCTTCCACGTTGCGATCGTTGAGTAGCGTGGCGTTTGCGTTGACGTTGTTGATGATGGCGCCGTTTACACGAATTGATGCCAACAGGCGAGCGTATTCAGCAACCCGTGTCGTGTTATCTACGACAAATCCGTCCCGGAAGAACAATGAAGGGCCAGCATACCCTCTTTCGATACTGCCATCCATATTATCCCATTCATTAGTCCATCGAATGGGTACTTGCGGGTTGTATACCGTTGAAGCAGCCGTGATGTTGTCTTGCGCGAGCTGAGAAAGATACTCAAAGGCTCCATAGAGAGCACCGCGTTCATTCTGTCCAATGATTACGACCTTGCCGGGAGTAGTTGTGCTGAGGAAGAAACCATCTTCGTCCAGGTTCTCGCATTCATCGATGCTTCCGTACGCGGCTACGTAGGCGTCCCAAGTTCCGACGATGATGGCAGACTGGCTTTGGTCTGCCGTCGAGCTGACGTTCAGCTTTCGTCCGATGATGCCCTCTACGCCTCTCTGAAGCTCTTGGCCTGCGGTGTAGACAGGGCTCACTTTCGTGCTGTTCAAAGCGATGATCGCCGGGGGTACCGATTGTGCGCATGGCCCGTCCGGTATAGGAGCATAGCGCAGCCAGCCTTGTGAGCCATCTTCGGCTACAGCAACGCCCAGCACGCAAAACAGTGTGGTGAGTAAAAGTCGCATGATTGAAGCCAATGGATAACGGTCAATATCCACATACTGGCCGCCGTCCCCAAGATCCTTTATAGGTCACCACGCTTTCCTCATGATCAACACGTCATTAGCACATTTACGGCAGCAATTGTCGTGACATCTCCCACCGAGGAAACAAAACGAAGTCTAACGGTCGCACCGTACTTCAGCCTAAAAGCTGGGCGTGAGTACAAGATCAGTCAAGCGTGCGGAGGGCGGCTCAAGCTTTACTGGCTGATTGTGGGGATGAATGGCGGGGATCGGAGAGATCGGCAACAACTGGCTGAAAAAGTCCGCCGAACCGGTTAACAGCCGATGGTAGTGCGCATTCCGATCGTTGTACGCGTGGACGAAAGCGCCGCAGACTTGATGGTATGGAAGACGGTGTATGGTGGAATTTGACGATGGTCAGGACAGAGACGAGACGGTGGTGGCTTCCTGGATGTTTGTGCCGCAATTACGAGAGACCTACTAGGGCAATTACGACGTCATCAGCCATCTCGCCCACGACCGACCGCCTGCAGTCCACAAACGATCAAACCCTTCTCTTCATTTGCGAACTGAGCATGACACTACTCGTTCGAGTTCTATCACTACATGCGCGTGGTAACGAGCCTGTCGCGTCCCTACCATCATACGTACAGGCTATTCCAAGGTTCAGAACTAATCGACAGGGCCGCGCTGATCGATTATATTTGTCAAAAGTGTCCATGAGAATTATCATCTTATAGTACTTCGCGTTGATGACCTTGAACTTGTCGCGATAGCTTCTCGAGGTAGCCTCGCATACTCTCACTCGGGTGCAGGTCCTGCCCAGGTATACATCACTCTCACGTATCGCTACTGTAGCCTCATTCTATCACTCCATACGCCTTGAGTCCGACAGCATCTCTCTACATATAAAACGCTCATCTCTCTGAGGTCCAGACCTTGCCTCCCATCGTATCCAATTACTAACACACTTTCTCGGCCCTTTTCCCTCGTCTCCGGCCCACTACCTTATGCGTGCAGCATAGCTATACCCATTGGTGGAATACTGATAAACCCGTTAGAACCAACAGTTACTGGTTCTCGGTGCTAGACTGCAAAAATCCCCTACCATGGGATATACCAACGTCAACAATCCCATCACTATCGATGAAAGCGCAACGAATTGGTACACACAAACAATTTCCAGACAGGCACGTTCTCTCATACCCAAGGAGTTTGAGAAACTCCCAGCTTTCGATACCGTCAAGTTCAGTCATCGCAAAAGCTTCGGCCCAGTAGTCGACACTCATTGGCCACAGGACGCGTCCGAGATGGTACTCACTCTGGGCACCTTCGACGTCCCGTCTCTGGAGTTGAAGCCTTCGGTCTATATCTACGTACGTGGATTGAAGAATCACCATATCGGGTACTTTTATGTCAACTCAGACTCGAGCGTCCATCGCGTGCAACCGAGCGGTCTCAGGCATGTCGATATCGACGAACCGTTCTGTGACGTCGGAGACCATTCAGTTGGTGAACAAACCGTTTACAACAGGATACGGGCAATGGCACTTTATTTCTTCTTAGTTGCTGGTCACATCGAAGTCATTGAGAATTACAGTCATTTCTGGATGGACTTTTCGAAGGCTTGCGGATTTATCGCAAACAGTGGCGTTCGCCCAAAGCCTCGCGCAAAAGCACAGAAACAGGAACCGAAAACTGTACCAGTATCCGCTGCGACATCAGTTCCGGGGCCAGAAGCGACTGACCTGACGCACGACACTGTCGCATCCAGGAAACGCACCGGCGATGATGGACCCACGCCAACGGCAGGTAAGTTACAAGGTCCGCCGTCCTTTTACATGGTTGAACTAACAAATGGCAGCGAAGATCAAGCGTCGCGATTACAGCCATATCGTGCGTATATGCAATAGTCTGAATCGCACTTCAAGCTTACTTTCTTATAGATACACCCATCCCACAGCACCATACGGCGATCATTGAGCCCAGAATATCCGATCATGACAATCAGCGCAGAAGCCAGGCTAGCAAATAGTGAAAGAACAAACGCCCCATTGAGAGCGGAGATCGATACGCAAGCCAGGGCTGTTGAACAGCTCAGAGCACAGATGACAGTAAACCGCCAGCTCTCAGCGCAAGTCAACGGCCTCACAGCCGAGATAAGCCGAGTCAAAAACGAAAGCATGTTCAGTCAAAATGCGTACCGCGGCATCCAAGTTCAACACGACGAACTGGCAGAGCGACACGCTAACACGCTCCACAACGAGAACGCCCTTCGCGATCAGCTCGGTCAAACTCAGGCACGTTGCGCACAAGCCGAGAGGCGATCAAAGGCGCTGGAGAAGGAAGTGGAGGGTCTCAAGCAAAGAATGAGAAGAGCGGGAGAAGCGTTGGACATTTCGGCTTTTTGAAAGGTGGAGAATAATTGATCCGGGGGTACTTGAAGTACCGAAGGCTCATGGCGTTGATTTGGAAAAGTTCATGTCGCTCACGGGCATCCGTGGGTTTCCATTGCTGGGGTAGTGGAGTTTGCGGCAGTTTGGCGACAAAATTCAGGATGATGCTTCATGAAGCTTGGGATTGTTTTGCGCGACATACCTGGTTTTCCTTCGGGGAAGGTATTGGTGAGAATTGTCTTGGGAATGTTTGACATCGAGCAAGAAAAGATTGACGGGGCTATGTCTCATCGCACAATCCATACATGCATTTATGTCTCTCAAATTGGAGCAGCTAGTCTTTTGCGCTTCACAATGAAGGCCAGATTTCACCTCAAGCTATACCTTTACCTTTGTTTTGAACATACTGAGACCCCCGGAAAGTGCACCAACTAGGACATGAAACCTTCCATGATCATGCATGCACAGCAAGCGCAAATAGCAAACTCACAACGGCTATAACATCATGCTTTAACGCCTGTTTTCTTCGTCATCTACACCATGAGTTCCACACCTCGCACCACCACTGCCAACACCGACGATATCGACAGGATTGTCAAGGCGAAGAACGAATGGAAAGGACTCTACGAATCCCTCGAAGAAAACCCGCACCACGCTACACACATAAGCGAAGAAGCACGGAGAAGAAAGAGATTAGAAGAGGACTTGCTCGTACCGGCTCTCAAAACAGCAGCGAAGGACGCGAAGAACGCCAACACGAAGCTGAAGGAATGGATAAGCGTAGTAGGCGTTGTGGACGAGTTGTGGAACGCCAGTGCTCTGAGATATCAAGTTGGTGAGGCTAGAGAAAAACTGGTCGACGCAGTTTGGGATCTGGAAGCCACCGTGTACGAATTGCGGAAAACGCTGAGGTTTGACGGAGGGACAGTACTGAATAAAGTTATTGATCCGTCGGCAGAGGATAGCTCTGAGGAGGAAGAATAGGCCGTTGGCGTTCGACTCGTTTGTTGCGGCGTACAGCTGAGAAGCCATATAGTAGTAATTGTCTTCAGTTGAGTACGATCACACTGCATCTGATAGTGCTGAGTCTTTCTGCCCAAATGAAGGCCAGGCCGAGTCTGAATCAAAGGCGCACTCTAGCCTTCGTTGACACTTTCCGCGGGGGTCGTCAGGCTACCACACATGTCGCTTAGCTGACCCTCAAGCAGCGCAATACCAAATATTACGGCTCCGAACCATGCTGACAAGAAGACATTCGATGATGGCCGTAGGGAGAGGTTTGGTGTTGTAGAGACGCGATCGAACGCGTCCGACGCGTCCTGGACCACATGGCACGTGAGGGCGCGGGGTAAGCGCGATCTCCAGCTCGGAAGCTACGACGCCATCAACCACGAAAGTCTCCAACTTGACTGCGATGCCACTGTCGCACGGTATCAAGATATCGCGATAAATTTGCCAACGACAATATCAAACCAGATCGGAAAAGCTACTGCACGGGTCCACTGCGGCTGTTAAGCCCTAAGGCGCAATACTCAGGTTCCTATCCCTAGACCACGGACGAGGCGCGACAGCCGCAATGACAACGAACGGCTTCCGAGAGTGTGGATACGCAGATACCGGTTGCCGCATTGTCGGTATTTTGTCTTTGGCACGCTCGCAGATATGGGGTAGTGCCTTGGAAAGCAAGAGAGATCGGATCAGTGAAGACGTGCAGCAGGAAAGCGGACAGCAAGGTACGTACGTCTTGCCATGAGCGCAAATGCGCAGTTTGCTGGATGCGATACGAGGCGACCGCTCAGCCCATTCGTTCGATGTCATCGAGGTGTCACAGCGTGCGCCATCACGAACGCGAAGAAGCAGCTGCATCGATAGGGTCTGCATATCTAAGCCAGGCAAGGCAGGTGCCGATCGTCAATTTGCAAAGGGAAGAATGAGAGCATTAGGCGCGCAGCAGGCCCGAACCAGACCGAGGCAGCCCGTACGATATCAAGACTCCCAGCCTCTCCATATGGTAAGGCAGCATACAAGCGACACAGCAACGCCGCACTGGCTATCGATGAGTAAAAGTTGGGTGTTGGACTTTTTATCGACCTGCCTCTTCGGGTGCGCCGTTTTATCCGCCACCGGGCTTGATCGTGACGGCGCGTCTTGGCACGGCCGCGAGCAATCTGGGCGAGAGCTTTGCGGAGCTTCACGTGAGAGCTGCATGGAGATGGCCGCCAAGTCTGAGCCACGACTGCGGGACCTGTGGGCCGTGTCGCGATAGGACGACGCAGAAACATGCTTTCTACGTTCCCACCGACGGCGAGCTTGTTTGTCGCCCGCAGCGCTAGCCTGCATCAGGAAGGAGCGGTCGTGAACAGCGCCCATCTATCCACATGTTTGGTATAGCAGCAACCGCATTACAGGGCGCGCCTGATGCCATCACCGAGTGCGTAGCCAACGAGGAGCGCCATGACAGCCAGGTACCGGTCCCTAAACCCCGCTGGCAAAATATCGTCCAGCCAGGGTCTGCAGCTAGGTACCGAGCAGCGCGTTGTACAAATAAGCTGCCTGCCCTTCCTGAGCTTTCCCGACCATCGACCTTGTCCAATTGAGCTTTTACGAAGCTGGTCGCATACAAAATGGCTCGATACATCAGCGTTGCCGCGGCTTTGGCTGCTACCGGCGCCTGTGCCTTTACGCCTGAGTACGTTCACATCACATCATATCTCTCTGGTAGCGCAATTCTAACTAAGAAACAGAGGGCTCCTCAGCACCGTCCGACGTGGCGTCGCTGACGCCAGTCCCGATGGCTCTGTCGGTCTGTTCTCGTACTCCCAGTATTCCTTCGAGGAGCACGGCAGTGCGGGTTCTGGCATGAACCTCATCGATCTCAAGACCGGCGAGATCACCGAGTCGGGCCTCAATGCCAGCGAGATCAACGAGGTCGCCTGGATTCCCGGCAGCGAGACTGGTATCATCTACATCAATGGCACCAACGAGGAGGTTCCCGGCGGTGTTACCCTGTGGGTTGGCGACATCAAGGACCCCAGCGCAAGCAAAATGGTCGCTTCTTTGGATGCGCCATACTCCGGTCTCAAGGTCGCAAACACTTCTACTGGAGACATGCATTTCATCGTAAACTGCATGGCGTACCCCAATGGTACTGCCGTCAACCCCGAGACCGAAGTTACCCCAGTGACTACTGCCCGCTACTACTCCGACAACTATGTCCGCCACTGGGACACTTGGCTGACCAAGAACCGCTACAATCTCTTCGCCGGAGCTCTCTCGGCTAACAACAGCTATGCGCTGTCCGGCGCTGGAATGCGCAACATCCAGAAGGGCATCAACTTCACCACCACTGCGCCCGAGACTCCCATCCAGCCGTTTGGTGACTCCAGCGACTACGACATCAGCCCTGATGGTTCTATGTACGCTTTCGTGACCAAGGCCCCTCAACTTAACAAGGCCAACTACACCGCATCATACACCTATGTTGGTGCTTTCGCGTCTTCCGACGCTCCCATCGCCTTCAACGGCCCAGACTCTCTCGCGGCGGAGGCTGGTCACAAGGGTGCCTCTGGTCTCCCTTCTTTCTCCACCGACAGCTGCAAGCTCGCCTACGTGCAGCAGGATGAGGACTACTATGAGTCGGACAGGTGGCAACTCTACACTGTCGACGTCGCTGTTGAGGGTACCGGTGTTGCTGTCAGCAACTGGAAGGCTCTGAGTGCCGGCTTTGACCGCTGGGTTCAGGGACCCATCACCTGGGCTCACGACGACTCCTCCATCTACGTCACTGCTGATGACTACGCTCGCGTCAAGATCTTCAACTTCCCTGTCGATGCCGACGAGAGCTTCGTCCCTGAGCCTATGACCTCGAACACATCCGTCTCGGCTTTCGCCCTCCTTCCTGATGGTTCGCTGTTCGTCGCTGCTACCGCCATCTGGACTCCCAGCGAGTGGTACATCCTTGCCGACGGAGAGAAGAAGACCCTCTTCGACGCGTCTCAGGTCGACCCCAACCTCGCTGGTCTCGGATCCCACACTGTTTCCGAGATCTTCTTCAACGGTTCCAACCCTGAGCTCAAGCAGCAGCTTCAGGCCTACGTTGTCAAGCCTACTTTCTGGCAGGAGAACGTAACCTACCCGCTCGCTTTCTACATCCACGGTGGTCCTCAAGGTAACTGGGGCAACAGCTGGTCCAACCGCTGGAACCCTCAAGTCTGGGCCGACCAAGGCTACATCATTGTCGCACCCAACCCAACTGGTTCTACCGGTTTCGGACAGTTCCTCACCGACTCCATTCAGGGCCAGTGGGGTAGCTGGCCATACCACGACTTGGTCAACGCCTGGAACTACGTCAACAGCAGCATGCCATGGATCGACACCAAGAACGGTATCGCCGCCGGTGCTTCCTACGGTGGTTACATGACCAACTGGATACAGGCCAACGACCTCGGCAACGAGTTCAAGTGCCTCGTCACCCACGACGGTATCTCCAACACCGAGGGTGCATGGGCGTCTGAGGAACTCTGGTTCATCCGCCACGACTACAACGGCAGCATCTGGGACTCCAACGCGTACCGCGAGTGGAACCCCCAGAACCACATTGCCAACTGGTCCACTCCCCAGTTCGTCATCCACAACACTCTTGACTACCGTCTGCCCGAGAGCGACGGCCTGAGCTTGTTCAACATCCTCCAGGCCCGCGGTATTCCCTCCAGGTTCCTCAACTTCCCCGACGAGAACCACTGGGTGCTCAAGCAGGAGAACAGCTTGTTCTGGCACACTGAGATCTTCAACTGGATCAACCACTGGTCCAAGGGTGAGCCTCTGAGCGACCTGCCCATCGGTAACTAGATGGGGAAAAGTCATGGTCTTCAGCATTGATGACAACATTGATGAAACTTATTCTTAGATGATTAATGATAATACATTGATAAGAAACTTCATTCACATATGTTTCAGTGATGTATGCTCGAGATCTAAGCTCTCTTTTGGCCCGAGTCCACCCGGACTGATCTCATTTAATGTATATGTTGAAACCGAATACTAGTTCCGAGATGTAGTAAATTTGCTAGCCGGAGTACGCCAATCGCTACTGTATGGTAAGAATCAACCCGTAGTCGACTAAAGAACGTTATTGAGCTTTACAGTTATGCGGGGTAGTCGTATATTCATGCCGGTATTCGAAAAACGTCCATTAGCTGGGTCCAGCGCTGACCATAAGCTACTGACAGACTTCGGTGAACGATGCATACCCCGTGTGAACGTCTACGCTACATGCACAAGCAAGAGCATAGGCATCAAGCATCGCTCCCGCTACCCGGCGGCCGGTATTCAGCGGCTTCACTAACCAAGGATATCCGCGTCTGTCCTCAGGTACGGCTGCTGCTGTCAGGCGGGACATGGATGGCGGTTTCCCTGGCTTGTCTTGGCCTTTATGGCATGCTCTCGGTTCTCGGCAGCGACGATGTGCAGCGCTAAGACCACAGAAGCCATCCACACAAGACCTTGTTGATAAGCCAGGAAATGACTCGGAAGACCCGATCGCATGTGCATAGTTCGATTCAAGGTCCATGATGAGCTTCTAGACACTGTCTTCAATCGAGAACCATCAGTATGGCGACGGGGCGTAAAGAGATAAGCAGCCGCTATTGCCACTCAGCCAAGCTGCATCCTTCATTGTTCTGTGATAGCAGAGAATCCTACTGCGCCCCGTTGTGTTGGTGTATGGGTGATCACCAGAGGGTTCTGTTGGACAGGCCATGCCAAGCAAAGACGGAAAACAGCGGGTCAGGCCATGGGAATGCCAATGTGCCATGCTGCCAGGCGAGGCAAAGCTTCCGCTGATAGCAACGAAGCCTCGTGCCAACGACCATGTGGAGTTCTTCGGCGCTCTTGTCTCGTTTTGTCGCGCTTCTTTTATTGTCAAGGAGATAAGCGTAGCTATGTGGATGTGCCAATGCTGGTCCCGTCCATGGACGTTTTCGAGAAGCACGACAGGGCGTCCGCGCTAGGTGGATTGGAGAGAACAACGCGACCACTGATTGGAGTGCGCATGGAGAGCGACACGGCGTGCTGCTGCCGGTTGGTCGAGCTGCCTGTTCGAGTTTGGTGGAGTTACATCGCATGCATGCGAAGGCTGTTTCATTGTGTGGGGAGCAGCCGAGGATTGATGTGACGAGAAGGCGCCCAGCGGGACGGAAGGCTCGGCGCCAGCTGGGCAGCGGAGTCGCAGCAGAGTTCGGCGGTCATGAGCGACGACACACGCGATCGTCGACGAATGTCACTCCTCGGACCGTCGTCCTGGCTCTCAATTTCAGTGCCCTCCTCACTGCAGCGATGAATGACTTTCCTACGAGCTGTCAGCGCGCATGTGCACGCCGTGTCTGTGCGCAAGCTCTTCGGTATTGCACTGCGGCGTGGTGTCATCATGGCACAGCTCGTCGTCCAGATAAGAAAGAGCTAGGGTTACCCACCGCGTGAATGGCTGGAAGAACATAGTGTGATCAGCGACGCTGCCAAGTGCCGAAGCACTCAATCGACGTCGTCGCATGCGCCGAGATACCCATTTCCCTGGAGCTTGGCTTGCCGAAGCCCTGCAAAGACGGGTGCGAAGCTCTAAATCGTAGTCTTACTTTCGGCATCGCCTTTCCGCCCAGCCTTTGCCCAGTCACCGGCTGGTGATAAGACGGGCATTGCGAAATAGTCCCTTGATGCTGTATGGGTCAACCGCCGGCTTGGGCTACTAGCTAGATTCCACCAATTCCTGGAAACGAGGGTGGAGTGTATCCACACAGGACACCTGCTCGAAAGAGAGACAGTCAAGGAATACCAAGACGGCGCTTGGGATGAGCAGATTTGCCGCTTCTGTGTCACTGTAAGGATGCTATGAGTATAACTGCGCTCGTTCGCCCAACCCTTGCGGTTCAGCAGCAGCTCATTCTTTTGCACCGCCCATACTCTTCCGTGCCTGCTAATCATGTCGGCTAACGCTGGCTCCAACGCCGTGGACATGGCCATGTCCAACGAGCCCAACAAGGCTGCTATGCCTTTGTACGAGATCGACGAGAAGCGTGCTCTTTCGGACGATCACACACCGTCGACTCTCAGCCACCAGCCTCATGGCGCTGATGTCTTCGAGGCCGACTTGGAAGGCGAAGAGCCTACGGAAGATGAGTTGAAGACACTCCGCCGTGTATCTGGAAAGATTCCGTGGACTGCCTTCACCATCGCCTTCGTCGAGCTTTGCGAGCGCTTTGGTTACTACGGATGTCAGGTTTTGTGTATGTTGTCGCTCGTACCTGTACAAGAATCAGCCCACTGACTATTTCGAAGACACCAACTTCATTCAACAGGACCTGCCCGTGATTGATGGTGTTCCACAAACCACTGGCAAGGACCCTCGCTCAGAGGGTCAACCAGGCGCGTTGGGCATGGGACAGCGTGCATCCTTCGGTATCGGTCAATTCAACTCTTTCTGGGCATACAGCACACCCATTATCGGTGCCATTATCGCCGACGAGTACCTTGGTCGCTTCAACACCATCTTCATCGCCATCGCCTTCTCTATCCTGGGTCACATTCTGCTCATCATCTCCGCCATTCCCGCTGTACTCACCAGCGGCAATGCCATCGGTCCTTTCATCCTTGGTGTCATCACCCTTGGGTTCGGTACCGGAGCTTTCAAGGCCAACATCTCCCCCTTGATCGCTGAACAATACCGCCAAACCAAGCCCCGTGTCATCAAGGACCCCAAGACTGGCGAGCGCGTCATCTCTGACCCCAACATCACGCTCTCTCGTATCTTCTTGTGTATGTTGTCCCCCAATGCGATATTTGGAGCAAACCACTAACATATTCCAAGACTTCTACATGTTCATCAACATCGGCTCTCTGACTGGACAAATCTCCATGGTCTACGTTGAGAAGTACGTCGGCTTCTGGTGTGCGTGGCTGCTACCCACCATCATGTTCTGTTTCTGCCCCGTCGTCCTTTGGGTCTGCAGGAACAAGTACATCCGCACTCCCCCCACTGGTTCCGTCCTCATCCGCGCCTTCAAGGTCTTGAAGCTCGCCACCAAGGGCAAGTGGTCTCTCAACCCTGCGACTACGCGCAAGAACTTCAAGAGCGAGCGGTTCTGGGAGGACGTCAAGCCCAGCCACCTCGGTGCCAACAAGCCATCCTGGATGCAATTTGACGACGCTTGGGTTGACCAGGTTGCTCGTGGCCTGCGCGCGTGCTCTTGCTTCACCTGGATTCCTCTTTACTGGTTGAGCTACAACCAGATGAACAACAACCTCACGTCGCAGGCCGCCACCATGACCCGTAACGGTGTTCCCAACGATGTCATCACCAACCTCAACCCCATCTCCCTGGTCATCTTCATTCCCATCGTTGACAACTTCCTCTACCCCGCTCTCCGCAAGGCAAACATCCGCTTCACTCCCATCAAGCGCATTGCTTTCGGTTTCATCCTCGCATCTTTCGCCATGGTCTCTGCTGCCGTTATCCAGCACTACATCTACGCCGAGGGCCCTTGCGGCGAATACATGAACAGCTGCGACGATCCAGCCCCGATCAACGTCTGGACCCAAGCCGTGCCCTACATGCTTGTCGGTTTCTCTGAGATCTTCACGTCGATTACTGGACTCGAGTTTGCGTTCACAAAGGCACCCAAGAACATGCGTTCGCTGGTTACTTCGTACTGGCATTTTATGTCTGCCTTTTCCAACGCGCTTGGTCAGGCGTTTGTGTCGCTGTCCGAAGATCCGTTGTTGGTCTGGAACTACACGACTGTTGCTATCCTGGCGTTCATCGGTGGCATCCTCTTCTGGTTCCATCAGCGCAAGACGGACAAGCAGGAGGATATTCTTAACATGCTTCCGGACTCCAACTACATGGGCAAGGACCGAAGGCATAGTGTTGCTGGTGCTGAGGAGGCTATCGCTGGCCACAACGTTGAGGCGCATGTTCGTACCCAGGGTTAACTCGTGGGCAGTTTTGTGCCAAATGTCGACGTTTATGAGTGCCGCTGCCAAGAGTGCCTGGTTGTATAGAGCTATCGTATGATTGAAGATACCTATCTAGCTTGAATGCTAGTTAATACACGAGACTTTTACCCAGCTCAAACATTTCTATAATCTTCTGCTTTTGTATTGTGGCACGAAGCCCAGCCAATCACGAACTAGCTACTGCATGTGCTACATACATGCACGCGTTACCCTGTATTGCCAATACTGTGTCGACGTTATGATATCTTCTTCGTAAGTCGTCTCCGTGGTCACGCCCTTGCTGATCCAAGACCAGTGTCTTCAGAAGCGGGGCATTAGTGAGCCAGAACGGCAACCTCCAGAAATGGACAACGCATGACAAAGACACAACATCATAAGACCACGAATAACAAACTTCAGAGATTGAATAGCCGTCAAAGCATCCATGTATATACGTTGAGTTACGGAGCGAACTGGTATTTGCAGTAGGATATACTGATGTGCTGACCAACACGCAAGCAAATGCATGTGCCTTCTACCACTATTGATTATATTGTGCTCACGCACCATGGTCACCAGGTAGTGTTGGCTATTCATTGCTCTGTCTTGCCGTTACAACTTTGTCGTAGCCCAAGTCGTACTCGCCGGCTTGGCAGGTCAGGCTCGTGTAAAGTTTTCAACTTGGTCGATATGACGGGAGAAAGACCCTAGTATCCACATAGTGTACGTCTCTAGTCCTCCAACCAATCTCATATGCGTACATTCACCACCACAGAGCAAAGATAAGAACAACGCTGTACTCACATTCCGTCGTTATCTCTGTCTTGATTGGGCCCCACGTAGCCATGCTCACATCTTTCCGGATGGTAGTCGATGTACTTAAGCACGGCAACGATACTGGTGGGTAACTTCTCATAGTCGGCTAACGGTCCGCCTCCTTGGTCAGGCGGAAGAGGGCAACCCGCGGTCATGCAATCATCTAGATCGGCATGGAGATGAGATCCGATTGGGCATTTATAAGCGCCTTGGCTAGTAATGTTTGCTTCAAAGCAAGAAACAAGCTCAACGTCTTCTGGCGCCACTGGACCTTGTCCGTCCCCCCGTAGTTGTCCCCTTGGACCTCTGGTGGAATCGAGCCATGTACTATGGACAATATGCTCATCTGAATAATTATGTCCAGGGAACATATGCGTCTTGAATCTCGTAGTGATGACTTCTTTGTACCTCTTAGATAAGATCCACTGCTCCAAGTCTTCGAGACCAAGGAACTTGGCCTCAGACAGAAGTTTGTTATATCCCACGTAGTCGAATCCCTTCTCCCTCGTCCAGAGCAACGGATATGTGCTAGGTCTTTTGATATAGGTGAACAGTATTGGCCAGATCTCAGGGTCCGTATCGATGGGGAGCGAGCCGTCGGGCAACAGATCGATTCCAGCCCAATTACCGCCAAGCAGAGCGTCGAAGTAAGGAACGCTCATAAGGTCGGATTTTCGGATGCGATATTTGCGGCCGTCTACGTCGAGGGCTACGAAATTGCCGTCAGGGATCGGGGCGTCGCGAGGGAGGGCGAGTTGTTGAGGGGCGCGCGCGGCGTGCGAGCTGTGCGAGGCATTCGATGCGTCGATTTCCATGGCGCTGACATTCGATGTCATGATCGAGGACTGGGTGGGGAGTGAATCCAGTAAGGACTGACTGAGCGGTCGGTGTGATGGGGGCCGATTGACGTGTGAAGTGTTGCGAGATGGCAGACCGAGGAAGACGCGTCTCCAAACGCGCCAAGCCTTGCCCCGCTCGTGCTGTCCGCTGTTCCTCCAAGAGGAAATCCCTCCTACCAAATCTAACTCTAGAGGAACTCAACAATCTTTGGGAAACATCACAATGTCCTGCCAGCCTTTCGCTAATGACGCGCTGCAACGCGTGCGGCTGGGCTCTCGATTACTTCAATACCGGCACCGATTACGCCGAACACAAACCAGTTCACTTCTGCGACGCCTTCTCTAAAATCCAGATGTCGCTGGCACTCTGTGGCTATCACAAGGTCTTCATCTTTGCGGAAATGAGAATATGTTAACACTGTAGTATCTTGTTCTGGGTCGAGGCGGAGTGGATTGCCCATATGCATGACCACGAGCGTGCATAGCATAGGAGGGCAGAGGATCCAGGTGTTGTTCAACAGTCATGTGGGTAGATGTTATGAAAGCAGAATGTCAGACATTGTCTCTGTGCCTAATCTCTTGAGCATGGATCGTGCCACCTCTTATCGGGGTACGGCCCTGACCGTTGTCGCCTCCGCCCGCACATCGCTCTCCCTCCACCTCCCACGGCGATATCTCCAAGCCTCTATTTAGCTCTGCTCTCCGGCGCAGAAATACTTGGGGCTACTTACCCGCGCTGCTCTCTATAACACTGCGCATTGTGACCTCCTCACCGCTGCGCGTCTATATCACGACTCCAGGCAATGCCGCCAAAGACCATCACGGAGGAGATCGACGACGACACCGACGATGAGATCAACAGTGAGACCGACGACGACACCAACGGCGAGATTGAAGACGAAGACGAATCTGGCACCTTCGCTACAAACGACGAGCTTACAGCAATCGCAGAAGAGGATCCCACGTCCGCCGCAGGGCTCGCATACCAGACTTCCTTTGGCACTTTGCTCTGGCAATTGACCCATCGTCACAACATCTGCGATCGTGTTACACGAGAACTTATTAGCAGTGTTGGTACCTAGGCAGTAGAATCAATCTCAGACTCTTACCCTGCACCATTATCAACTTCCCTGTAAGGTTGACTTGGCCATGGGTCCAGATCGGCAGGCCCAGAATTCATAGGCCTGTACCAAATTCAACACTGCATCCTCGTCGTGTTGGGCCCTAGTAATGAGGCGACAACTCCAGTCATTAGAATAGAGAAGGGCAACTACAAGCGTGGCCCCCAAGACGTAGCAAGGAAGCACATAGTCTTCAATCAACACCAGACCGCTCTCTTGTCGCATCTCAAGTTGCCTTATACACCGTCTGCACACTCTCTCCTCTATGGTCACCCTTTATGTTTCTTGTCGTGGTCACTTCAATGTCTCGGTGGTGCGAATCCTGATTCACCGCGGAATCCAGACCATTCACTCACCACACTAAGCTAAGACAAACGCACCACACGTTGAGATATATATCCGACCAACGTCAAAATTGCGGCTTCAACCGTCACATAAAACTTATCCTACCTTGATAATATCAATTCAACGCGCACACCCCAGCAGCAATGGACGACATCTGGAGCGACACGGAGATGAGCGAGACATCGTTTACCACCACCGAATCATCACCGCCGCCATCTCCCATCCTGACAGACTACCAAAACAACCTCATCGCCACCTATGCGTTCCACAGCGATAGCATCAGCGACCTCATGAACATCGCCGTCGATCTTGAAATCAGCGTTCGACGCGAGCGCGACGAACCGAGCCTCCCATATCTTACCGAGGATTTGGAAAAGACACGAGGGGAGCTGGTGTTGCACAGGGACGCGAAACGGAGGATTGAGAGGAACCTGAAGAAGGAGAAGGAGAGGTTGAAGATGGTGGTTGGAAACGGGTCAATCGTGGCGAAGCAGCAGTTGAATGAGATGGCTCGTTATATGGAGGTGGACAAGACGATTGAGTGTCTACGCTGAGAGATCCGTAGGCTATGGAGCGCAAACCTGCATATATAGAGGGGGTTTATGGCGTCTGGTGCAAGGGTGCTTTGACAAACACGACGCGCATCAAGTTGGGTCTGGGACTGAGAGGACGCAGTAAACAAAACGGTTTCATGCCTTTCCTTGGATGCTATGCATACTCTTTCTCATACGAGGAATAATGTGTGCTCATGTAAATGGGGTATACTCTTAATCGGAACCATCGAAACCGGACTAGATGAGCAAATGACAACAAGAAGTTGGAGATTACAGAAGTATACAGGGTATTGTTACACGCAGTACAAATACAGAGATTAACAGCAAATGACGCGTGATTATGCGACATGAAGAGTGTCTGCGCCCGGGGCGGTGCGCTTTTGCTAAACGGTCTCCTCCGCGTCTCCATTCGATACTACGTCAAACCCGAGCATCGGATGCGTCACCTCTCCCCAGCACCACAAGCAGGTCTTGTTCCCAACCTGTCGCCCACAGGCGCAATGTTCCTTGTGTTCGGCGAATATTGTATCAAGGTTAGACTCTTCCGCTTCGTAACAGCGCAGGCATAGCCAGCGGTCAAGGAAGTGATTACGCAAAGTGCACTGACACTGGGAGTCTTGAAGACTACTTCGGCTATCCGAACCGTCTTTTGGGAGGCAGTCGTTGCAGAACCATCGTTTCCTTTGCTCTGTTGCTTGGTATAAGGCTCGAAGAACGGGCGAGGGGTGCACGACGTTTGAAGACGCCGATGCGGCCAAGGTGTGACTGCCGAGATCCAAGTCCAGGAGCTCTTCGACACACTCGGGTAGACCGAAACTATCTTCTTCAAAAGGAACGTCGATGAAGCCTTGGTCGTGATGTGGTGCACTGGAACCATGCGCAGGACTTTCCCATTCTGACGCGGGGTGATCACTAGACATGTGATGTGGGCTGAGGATGGGTATCTCAGATGGTGATAACAAGATAAAGCCGCTAAAGTTGGGCAACTCATCTTCATCACATGGCGTTTCGTAGATGCTCTGGTAGACGCAGTGGATGCGGCACTCGTCGCAGGTGCTGACCTTGCATCTTGAACAGGGTCGACACTCCGTATCAGACTCTTTTGCGCCGCACTTGATGTACTCAGTACAGTCATAAGCATCGAAGAAGGTCGACTTCTTGTGGCGCTTGTTACGGATCCGTACACCCCTACCAGAACACTTGAGTTTGCCCAGCAAATTCTCCAAGCTACTGGGCTGCGGTAGTATCGTCTTATGCATAGTCTTTGAGCATAGGAGTAGCGCCATGAGGTCGTCTGGGTATAGGCTTGATATGATCATCTCCAACAAGCCATATTCGTGGAACACTTCCATAAGAGGACACCGCTCCCTTGACGCAACCGCACTGTCCATTCTTGTCTTTTTGCGCGCCTCCGTCAGTTCACCGGTTGGCCTCTTGCGCTTTATATTCTCCATGGTCTTACACTGGCGATAGTCTTGATCCCGAGTATCTTGTGGTTCTGCGGTCCGATTGGCAGACACGCGGTGGTCCAGCGATTGAGTAGCCATATCAGCCTTGAGACTCCTAAGAAAGATGAGCAAGGAAGACCAAGGACGTCGGTGCGTCAGTCGAAGTCATCATGGGCCAGCAGATGCACCATGAGAGTACCGGCTCATGAGCACCACCGAGTCCGCGCAATGACGGGAAGCGCATCTCAAGGCGACGTACTTGTCTCTCACGTCGCAACGTGGTTCTAGCCTTCCGCGCCTCTGATAGCGCTTAACAGCTTTCAGTACCTGGATCTGGGTCCATCTTGGCGTTGTGTTGACAATAGTGTGGGGGACGCTCAACAGTCGGGATGAGATAAACAATGGCGTTGTATTACCAACACCTCGCAGCAAAGTGGGGCGTCTATTTCAGAACCAGGGCGATTCAGAAAGAGCATGAGAAACGATGAGGAATTTTTAGTCTCGTCTATTTTGACCATCGTGGACAAACGGGGAGATGCGGGATTACGTTCCGGTAGCGGCCGACTGACGAATGAGCATCGATGACATGATGGTGCCTCGGTCATTGCTTCTTTCCGTCTCCCCTGACCCTTCACTCGACTTCGCGCTGTTCGGATGCACGCAACATATGCGCAACGCACGCGCAACTCTACTTCACCATCGACCGTCACATTGAACCACGCCTCCGTTGATTCCGATCATGCCATCTTATTGGCCCTTTCATAACGTTGGTATGCGCGACGCACCGCTACTAAGCCATCGTCCAGGCATCTGAACCACAGTCACGCGTGCTCAAAGCATCGAGAGGCCGCGACAGTTACCGCTAGCTGTTCAAGGCTTTTCATCCATAGGATTATTCACATCATGGGTGCTTCGATGGGACGATGATTGTGCACACAGCTCAATCGCATTCTCGAACGTACATACTCGCACCTCTCGAGCTTTCCCATGGGCGATATTCCGAGCCTCCTCCCAGTTCCCTCATTCCGATGCGTAGTCACCACCTCCTTTGGTCCCATCTCATCGCCGCATTGGCATGACCCTTATTTCTTCTCATCCGGAATTTTGTAGCAGCAGCCGATGTCGAGCACATTATAGAAGGAGCAGTCGCGCTGGACGTAGAAGCCACCCTTCTTGTAGCAAGTCGTTTTGGTAGTGCAGATGCCCGACGGGTCCGACCTTCCGCATGGTGCGGGATATGGGTCTTTCGGCGCAGCGAGAGCTATGGAAGCGATCGCGGCGAAGAGTACAAGGACCTTCATCTTAACGTTTGATGACAGATGATCCAGTTTCGATCAAGGGAGGTGTTGGAATTGAGTCTCACGATTTGTGGGGGTGAGTGAGTAAGTAAGTTGACAGCTTGTTGGGTAGTGATATCGCTTTGGCTATCACGAAACAACTGTTTATATAGACAGCAGCCTCGTATCTACGGCGCCACTGACATCGCTGTAGAGTGAGAAGCTCATCCACGTCTCCTGCAGCGCAATCCAGAATTAGCTGGAACTATCTGATCGACCGCGAACTGCTCAAGGTTCGCCCAATCCACGCATCTCTGCGTCCACCAACCATCACGTTAAGCTTTGCGTTTCGCAGCAGCGATATCGTAATGTTACGATCTGGGCCAATGTGAACGTCCAACCGTGGATGTTGCGATAGCGCTCATATGCCTAAATTGCGTCGCGGCGTTTAGCGAGGAATGCAATCTATCTTCCCCGGATTTTCGTATTGCCAGCACTTCTGATAAGTCGCCCACATGCGAGCTAGACATTTTACCATATGAAACGGACGTACTGTCCTTCGCGGCTCGGATACCAGGCATATATGACGTTGCTGTAGCATCCAGTGCTGAATTCTGTCGCGTCGCGGTTTCATCGAGGCGAAGAACGTATGATCTCATAGAATACTAAGGCAGCATGGCAGTTAAGACGGCACTACTTCTGCCTTGGAAATCTACACCGGGTGCAAGTCCGAAGAAGTCAGTCTATGCACGCTCCAGATCTCTTTGGCACAACACTTGTGGCCCACTTTGGCTAAGAACGCAGCCATGTTAGACCATGAGCGCTACGTCGCTCTTGCGGAAATTCCGCACGCTGCTGCGCATCATTGCAGACTTTGCCACGTGGGTATGGCAAAGTAATCGTCGTAGGTCCATCACGCGCACGTGATGCAACGTCTTGTCTTAACGGAAAAGCAAGTCTCCCCAGGGCAACGATGCTAGCAATTTCATCCAGAAGAGGACTCTGGACGAGTCACGTCTTGAACCACTACTCCTTGTTGTTTAATCTGCCGTGTCCAGTTGGCCGACAATAATGCGATGGCTTCCAACGCCGGTTCCAATGAGATTTGGCATGATCCCAGCCTTCGTGGTGTAGTGTGGCGTATTTGACGTCGCAGCGCGTGAGCAGGGTGCGCCACCAGTGGTCTAGGCTTTCTGTATAACCGTTTGAGGTGGCTCGAGGTGACGAGCTGCATCTCTCCTGTCGTTCCTAATCCTCTCGACTTCACTGCTAACAATTACCACCATGTCTTTTGCGGGCCTAGAGCCTCCATCATTAGCGGGGCAGCCTAACACTGCTACATCCATACCCACGTGTTTCTTCCAGAGCCTGGAGCCTCGATACACCAACGATTCCATGGAACAGGGCACGGTCTCAATAACCAGCGTTAGAAGACTTCCAAGATCGCTATGGGATGTGCCGCTGTCTTGTACAATAGTCGGCCGCAGTCGCACGAGGATAGTTCGCGTCTTCGACCTCGGCGCGCGATCCCAAGGGCTGATGCGCCCGCTGTCGGGCGCGCTAAGAAATGGCGCATTGCAAGGTTACGTCACGTACGCGCATTCCATCACCAAGTCAGCCTCACACACAGCCTCTACTCACAACACCGGGCGTAGCCGCATCATGGCCGCGATGCTGCGGCTTATAGCAGGGGAACAATCACCACCTTTGCCGGATGCGGACGCGCGATTTAGAATATTCCTGGTCGATCTGCTGGGACAGCGCATTGCATTGCACCCTCAACACCAAAATTTTCATCATGGCAGGCCCGTGTCCAGCGCCATGCTCAAAAGGAACTACACTACGACGCGCTCGGTAAGCTTCTAGAAGGCCAGTAATCGAATCATATAACAGTTCGCTTATCTTTTCCATGCACGGTCGGCGAGTGTTTCCTTCCATGGGGCTTCTAGAAGATAGTTTCTCGGCCTGTTTGTCGGAACGATTAGCTGGCTCAGGGCACCACAGCGGTCAACGGCGGCACTTAGACCTGATTGGTTCATGTCGCCCCCTCAAGTGGGCAGGATCAACCGACCTGCAGCCGCATCTCCACCTTTTGTTTCCAGCATCAGCCGCATCCATTCCCCTACGACATCGTTCTGTATGGACTCTATATCTCTGTGTTTCGTTCAGTCATCGTTTTCTCCCGAAATACATTCCAGTCCACCTTCACACAAAGACGCCACCAGTCTGGTGCATGATCCCGATCCATCCGTGTCATGTTGAGATGACGATTTCCCGTGTCTCGCAAAGGCTGTCTATCTAAACGGGCTAGTACCTTGGCCCCAGAATGGCCATGGCCCCACGGAAAGGAACGCGACGAGCGTGTGACCCTTGTTCTGTCAGTGAGTGTTAGGTGCATGTCAACGCTCGTGACACGACTGACATTACGTTTCCTTCGTCTAGGGAAAGTGCGATGTGATGGCAACCAGCCATGTTCAAGATGCGAAGCCGCTAGCTGGGACTGCACCTACTTGAAAACGCATGGAAAAAGCGGACCAAAAGGACCACGACGGACCACGGAAGCCGCAATCAGGAGACTGCAGGAACGCAGCAAGGGCACCCATGATGAGGGGTCAAGAAGCAACAGCGAGACGAGCTTTGACGCTGGAAGCCCAGTATCTACCGAGCTAACCTACCTTGACCCCATCTCTTTGATGAGCGATGCCGATGGTGAACCCAAAGCCTGGCCGGATATCTTGAGTCCAACCCTCTCCGCCACCCCTCACGAGCCTCAGAGGATATCGATTGCTTGCCTATCGCAATATTTGGATATCTATTCGGCACGCGGATACGGTATATGGCCGGTGGTCGATGCAGAGGCTCTGACGGCACGTCTTTTGACTCATCCCGATGATTTGGAAGCTTATGCATTAGCCACTGCGATATCTGCTGCTATAGTGAGCCAGTTCTCTATGGACGAATCGGGAAGTCCACTGGAGGGCCACTACCGCGTTCCGAGTGGCACATTTGAAATGGAAGCAAAAAAGGCAAGGAACGAATGCGATCACCTGGAGAACGTCACTGTGTTCTCTTTGCTGAGCAGCTTCTTCCTACATGTCTACTCGGCAAACGTTGGGAGGATGAATGCTTCCACAGTGCTGCTTGGAGAGGCCATCTTCAAAGCGCACATCATAGGATTGCATAAGGCGAACCACTACGAACACATGACGGCCGAGCAAACGCAATATGCTTTGAGAGTATACTGGCTCCTCTTCATCACAGAGCGAGCACATTCTCTGCAACACGACGTGCCGACAACACTCAAGCGCGCCCCTAATCTCCCTCGATTGGAGGACCTGCACGATGGATCGGTTACACCTGCCTTTGTTCAACTTTGCCGGTTGTTCAACATTTTGGATGTCACTATAACCGCCGAACCAGCAGCTGCGCGCCATGCCCTCGCATTAGCTCAGCAACAGCTTAGCAGTGATGAGGACCCCCGCAGCCTCGAAAACGAGCTCCAGCGCGCAGACATCACAATGACGCAGCAATGGATGCGCATCTTCTTGTGGCAGCACGCACTCAATGTAACGAATCTGAGCAGTCGCGCCAGCCAGGATGAGGAGTTCTCATTTCGCTTTCCCGCCAAAGTCGCTCAAAACGTCCTCAGCAATCTGAGTAGCCTCTCCCGCCAGAGCATTGAGGCGCATGGGCCCGGCATGGTATGAGTTATCTCGCTACAAAAGTAGAACGTGACTAACGTGTATACAGGAGTCAAAACTTTTCGACGTTGCCAACTCGCTTGCAGACGTCATGATGATTATGCCTTCTCTCAACCACGAATCTCACTTCGACGTTGGGCCTAGAGATCTGATCCACTCACTAGCGCAAGTCCTGGCCTCCTTTCGTGGTGGCAACCCTGCTGTCATTAGCATACTGCAAGAGAAGCTCACTATGCTTGGACTCTCCGCTGGGTCGCCGCAGAAGTTGCTTGAGCTTTCCTCGCCGGAAGAGGAGCACGACGAGTGGCACGACCGCTCCATGTCTGCTCCCTCTACCTACCCGTCGTTAAGTCCGGACGTTTCAATGTCGCCCTCACTCCAGTCGAGTATGAGTATGGACGGGACGTATTGATCTTTCCTGGTTACCGTAAGAGAGCCTTTGCAGTATCATGCACATACGGACAAAATAATCGGTTGCACAACGCGTCCAGTCATGGCCATTCAGGCAGTTGTGCCCTATCGATTCGTCGACCTAGCATCCGCAACACAGGCGCTTGTCAGCAAGCGCCCAAACCCCTCAACAAGACGTGGGCTAGCCATGGTATACCGCGCATTGTCGAAGAGACCAACATGATTGATGCACCATGTTTTGGCCAACGCGTGGTAAAATGCCCCTCTGTTGCTGCAGGCCATCCGCAAAGGTCCAGCAAGATCACTCATTGGACTCTGCTAAATGAGTGCTTACGAGCCCTGGATCAGGTCGCACACCATCCGGACAAGAACAACGGTCCTGTTGAGGGATCATAGGGATCGCGGTAATGCCACCTCCGAAAGCCGAGTCGCGCGGAAATATGGAAGGAAAGCACGGTAGATGATGAGCACGGTAGTTGATGAGCACGGTAGATGATGAGCTTGATCAGGCGTCAAAGCAGAAAGTCAACGCTGAAGTGACGCAAACACACGCCCGGATCAGAGTTAAGAGGGGCCCAGCGACAGCGCATGTGATTACGATGAACTTTATCAAGGCCCGTGGGTCCTTGATAGGGTGTTGCTTGGGTCGTTCCTGCTCTCTATCTGAATAAGAGGACAGCAAGCGTTAGCATTAGCATCATAGCGTAGGCATGTCTTCAACCAGTACATTACGCAAGCACTGGCATGGAGCGGATAAAGTTTCTCGAAACTAGATTCGGAATTGACAGGAAGCCAAAACCGCAGCATGCTGGTTCTACTATGCAGCCGATCTTCAAATTATATACATCAGATTCGCTATCAGCAGTCATCGCCAACTCACTCCCTCATTTCATAGAGATGGGAAGTCCTGGATGACCTGGAGCAGCTGGGCTTTCATTCATTTGCCCGAGACCATAGTTGATCGCCGCGGCGATATCCTGGTTGTTCTTCTCCAGGAACATGAAGTGCCCATTGCCCTTGATACTAATATCGGCAAGTTTGATCCACTGGTAGTTGGTGAGGCCCATCTGCCTGAGGTACTCGACGAAGCAGTGGTCGTACGTGATGTGCGGACTGGCCTCGCCCGTGATCATGATGTAGGGAACTTTGCTAAGTTGGGTGAGCTTGTGGACGGTGCCAGTCTGCAGAATGCAGGAGCGCTTGGCAGGGTCATCTGGGCCGACCTCAGCTGTAGCAATGGTCGAGCAGTCCGTTACCGGCGGATCGAATTGCAGCGGTGTGTATGTGAGGCCACAAGGCCGCGCCGCAGTACGACCGACCCCAGCAACAGTCGTGTTCCCAATCAGAGAAGTATGTGGGATGTTGCCAGGCTCGATGTTGATGTTGGCGCGCAGCAGATCAGGGCATGCGTCCGACCAGATAGCCGTGTACGTACAGCCAGCTGAGTGGCAGATGGTGTATGACTGGCCGATCATGCTAAGAAGCTGACATCCAGATGTGCGCATAGTGTTTTCCACGTTCATGTTCGATGAAGAGATGGGAACGTTGGCGGCAGTGAAGGCATCAAAAGCTGGATCTCTACGAGATCCGTTTCCGGGCCATTGTGTATGTAGGTTTGCTTGTGGGTACTGGTCGAAGTTTTCCGGAGCTGTAAAGCCCTGCTCATTGATTGTGTCTGTAGATCCAAGGCGTAAAGGGTACTTGGAGAGGAGCTGCTGGCCACTTCGGCCGTTGGCAGCGATGTCAACGATGTAGACCTGGTAGCCTTGATCAAGGTAGTAGGATGCCCACCCCTTGCGATTATCTGGCGTATTCAGCCATTCTGCGCCCGTGTTGACACCCGCGGAGACGAAGACCATCGGGTAGGGCTTGTTGACCTTGCTGGCGGGTGTCAGCTTCTCGACATACAGCTGGTCGCTCCACATCTGTTGGCCTGGAATGCCGGAGTCGACGTAGCCGCCACCGATGTAGAAGAAGTCTCGCTGGTATGCAGATTCTTGACTGCTGCATTTTGGGCTGATGCCATTGACACCAGTGCAGTCTGTTGATGGGTCATCTTGGGCCGAAGTCTGGAAGGGCAATGCGCCCAGCAGCAAGCCCGAGAGGATGCTACGTGTATACATAGTTAAGTAGAAACAACGATGAATAGAATGGGTAAACTAATAGAAGCGATAAAGCAGTGAGCAGGGATGGTTCGTGGAGGGTTTGCGCGGTCAGGTCGGCAGCCTGCCTCTGCTTTCAATTTGAAGAAATCTCTCATTCCGGCAGGCCGCGGCATTGGCCCCAGCCGCGCATACGAGGTGTAGAATCCGTCCAAATTCCGTTATGCGACTTCTTAGAGATGCTTTCCGTTCGCTTTTGCAGGCTGCGGAGAAAAGCGGAAATTAGTCACCATAAATGGCCTAGCGGAGCGGCTGCATCCTGCCTTCCCAATCACCCAGACCCTGGCAGCGGGGAATCTCGACATTCTCTCATTACCAGCGGTCTGCACTCTTCTGTGGTGTCTTAACAGCCCTACGAGCTCATTGTGTCTCACAGAGGAAAGCAGCTGCATCAGGGCACGGCGGCGTCCTTCAGCGGCTCGTCGCAATGCGAAGAATGCACCACTTTGACACCATGACATCACTCCCTCGGAGGCGGGTACATAGAAGCTCATATATTGAGAAAGCTATCGTGCGCTAGCGATATACCCAGACCCGGGCTTTTTCTAAGACCTAATGTCCATCAAGTTTCAGCCTTTGGCGTATACTCCAGTGTACTCAATCTTCATTCGCAATCCATGCCTGACCCAGATCTCTGGTGTTCCCACTTCACCCTGCAAACCTGTTCATCAAATACTGTCTCTTTCTGTACGCTGACCATCTCCAGAGAAGTCACTTCCTCATACTCTACGGCAAATCCCGCCTGCCTCCGATGGCATTGCCGACCACACCTCTGCGGATAACCTCTGTGACGCCGTATTCGGCGTGGACAGAGATACACTTGCTCAGTTCGTGGAACAACGCACCACTCCTCAGTCTTACTTACGGGAAGGATCTCAGGATGCATCAAGCCGATGCTTGCAAAATCGCGGACTTTCGGATTTGTTGTTTGAACTTTAATAGCGGCGAGGTACTTCTAGCTGCATGTCAGTATCAAGCGTAGAGGATCATAGAATACCCAGTACCTTTGCTTCAATCCACTTATACAGCTTGTTCATTTGAAAGTACAGCGCTTCAGCTTGCAAGCGATTGTACAAGTCATAGTCGAAGCCGTTCATCGCGCTGTAAAACAGCGGGAATACCTCAGGACGACGCATATAGCGGAGGAGGTGCTCGAAAAGGTCGGGGTCGGCATCGAGGAAGTACGAGCCGTCTGGTTCGGGCGTCCAAGAGTAGCAGACAGAGAACTGGCGTTGGAAAATGCCTGACTCTGTCTCCAGAGTGTTGCGCGCAACTTTGAATTTGCGGCCTCCTATGTTAAGGACAAGGTTCTTCGGATAACTTTTATCGGCACTCGGAGTCGCTGTATCGGTGGAAGTCTGATCGTGACTCATGCTTGCGATCATCTATTAGGGTAGGACCTAGTGAAGCTGCCGTTATAAGCTGGCGGCTTAGATACGAAGGGTTTGCTTTCAAGGTCGATTAGTGTTTTACTGTTCATTGTCTACATTATGCTGACGAAAGGTGGAATTAGGAAGATTCGTTGTGACTAGAATACAAATGCCGAAACGACGGCTGCTGCGGTACCTGTCAAGCCGAGAAGATGGTGTGACAGGTAAAGGCAAGATTTCTGGAGGCGCACGATCCAAGATTCTTATGACGAGTAGCTCATTTGCCCTTTACCACAGTCGCCTTCCATAACAATCATAAGCTTCAGCAGGTGGCTTGTACAAAGCCAGATGCTGCTGCAGCCTTTGCTCGACCCTCCGCCGCTCGTTCATTTCCCACGACAAGGCCTGCTGAAGCTTTTCATGAGCGTTCCTCTCATGGTTGAGACGATCTTCCAAAGTCTTCTTCTCGTTCTTTGTATGGTCGACCGATTTCCTTAGCTCCCGAGCAAACTCGACCTGTCTCGCGTACTCCTCCTTCCACTTGCGGCTTTCTTCGTTGAGCATGTCGATCTTTTCAGCTTGTCTTTCGAGGGTGTCCTTTTCGGTTCGCACCTCCGACTTGCGAGTGAGCACTTCGATCTTCTGAGCTTGCTCTCTGATGGTACGCTTGAGTTGTACCAGAGAGGCAACATCGTTTCGGAGGGTCGTAAGTTCGTTGGTGAGTTGCGACATCTCTGCCACTTCTTCTTCGTGACGTTGTTGCATTTTTGCTGTAGCCGTTGCAAAGCCTTCGATCTTGCGCTTCTTGGGAGGAGCTAATCATTGGTCAGCCAACTATTGAAAACGGATGAATTGATGGTGTAGGAGATTTCTTTTCTGTCGTTGAGTTTGTGCGGCCTCTAGCCTACAGGATGCTTACGCTGCTTATCAATGGGGGGTGTTCTCTCTAGACCTGGCCATAACTCTTGATTCGTATTCCGGAGTGAGCGATACGGTCGATCCATTTTGACGGATGAGTTAGTCTTGTCGCGACGTGGATGAAGAAGGTAGTTGCTTTAGTCTGTATTCTGGCCAATAGAGATTGGCCTGGGGCGTGCGACGCGCTAAATAGACGAGGTGAAGGTGAGAGCGCGCGACCCTCGGTTAGATTACCCTCACCCCATTTGGATGTGCAACGAACGAATGATGAGAGCCTTTAAGCAGAACTATACTTGGCCCTGAACATACAGCTCTCGCCCCTGCTCGATGAGCTCTTCCAAACGAGCCTCACTAATCTCCCCGCCATCTTGCGCACCTTCTTCAGCACCACTGTACCTCCACCCATACTGCGTCTTGACCCACGCCACATCCCACGAACTCGGCCTGGACCACATAGGAATCATCTCATATCCGAGATCATGATTCGTACTGTCCCTGTAACGCGCTACTGGGCACTCCGCCTGGTTGCCATTCAGACAATTCTCATTACC